GGGTATGGGCGGGGGCGGGGGGTCGTCATTGAGGTGGGCGTGGTAGTCCTGCTGAGGCTCGGGCGAGGTCATGTCGCGGCGCTTGGGCTCTGGTCGCGTCGCGCGCGCGCGTATTAGTAAGGCGGAACTTGCCGTGGATCGGGGGAAGCGAGCGGCGGCACGTACCCGGCGGAGCGGAGTTGTCGTCGCCCGAGTCGTCTGAGGGCGTCGTCGCTGAGCTGCTCGCTGGCATACTTCACCTGCACTTCATGGGATGAGAGGACAAGTGGCTGCTGACTGCGTTTATACGGCAGAGCACTCGCTGCCAGCCCGCACATTGACTAAGCATGCCCGCGCCGCTGACACGGTCCGATCTCCGCGTAGGGCCCTGTGTGCGCCAGTGCCGATTCTCCTCCGTGTGTTCTAGCTCTCGTACTGTACTCGCCAGAACTCTACTTCCGACGTCATCCTACGCGGGATCCAGGGCTGCGGGTGGCGAGGGAGAGCACCGGGGCGCTCGCGATGCAGTCCGCGCTTCTTGCGCGATAGGCTTACGCGAGTGCTCTCTCACAGGCCATGCAGGGCTGCGCGGAAGGGGAAGCGACCCTCCGACGTGCAAGAAGTCGTACATAAGGCAGTTTACATACGCAGACATATACAAAATATATTTGGTGGTGACGAGTTGGGCCTGGTTTGAGCACGTGGGAGCGTGGGCGAGAGTTTGTTGGAGGATCTGGCCTCGTGTTTCGTTCGGGCACTTGCACTCTGCTCTGTCTCCTCGGTTCGCTGCCCCCCGCCCTCGCGTCGCCATGGCCGCAGCAGCCACGCCCGCCGACGACGCAAAGTCTCCCCTCTTCTCCCGCAAAAAGAGCCCTCCAAAGCCGACACAGCCCGATACCCCATCAGAGCAGCCAGCTCCAGCGCCGGCCCCTTCCCAGCCAGCGACCCAGTCCACCAGCGTCCAGCACGAGCCAGTGCCCTCCGCCACCGAGTCCAACGCGCACACCACGGGCACATCGACCACTCTCCCGGTAGGGTCCGAGTCTGAGCGCGGAACCGACAAGCCTGACGACCGGTCGCTCGCCGACAAGCCCAAGCAGACAAAGTCCACCCCAGGCGCCGGCGCCGGCGACAAGAAGCAAGACAATGCGCCCAACAGGCCACGGAAGGCCCGCCCCTCGCTCCTCGCGCGCATAGTGCACGTGCTCGTGCCCTGCGTCGGCCCCCAAGGCCACGACGGCGAGCCGGTCCCGCACGACATCCCGACCGGACCCGCGCCTGCGAACGGCAAGGCGGCGGCTGGACCTGCGACCGCTCCCACCGCGTCAGAGGCGGAGAAGAAGCCGGCGGCAACGACCGACGCCGCGACGACGACGCCGTCAGCGCCCGCTGATGCGCCCTCCCCTGCGGCTGCAACGCCAGCGGCCGCGCCGGCAACGCCCGCGGAAGCCACGCCGGCGCCTACCGCGGGAGCGCCCGTGCCTGCGCCAATACAGACCGGCTCGACGCACGGCAGCGACGTGGACGTGGTGGTGCCGCCGACGCCGACAAAGGTGGTGGACCCGGAGGAGACCGAGGGCGTGACGTCGGCTGCGGTGGTCCCGCCTGGCGCGACGGCGGAGGAGGTGGCGGCGTTGCACCGCGCGACGCCGCCCGAGAGCGGCGACGAGAGCGACGGCACGAGCTTTACGGAGGAAGAGCAAGAGGAGGAGCATCACGAGCAGGAAGAGGACGACGAGGACAGGCTGATCCTCAACGGCGGCGCAGGTATCCCTATCGGACCCGTGCGTATCGTTATCTCGCATACTCTATTCACGTTACTGATACGTTGATACAGGATGGTCAGCCACGACCGCTGCTGCCGCCACTTCTGCCCCAACACCAGGGCAGGAAATGCCTCGTTCTCGACCTTGACGAAACACTCGTTCACTCGAGCTTCAAGGTACATTTCACATTTACGTTTCTATCAGAAATCTGTCACTTACGCCTGTCGTTCGTAGTCAATCCAACAGGCGGACTTTGTCGTCCCGGTCGAGATCGAGTACCACTGGCACAACGTCTACGTCATCAAGCGTCCGGGCGTCGACGCCTTTCTCAAGAAAATGGGCGAGATCTACGAGATCGTCGTCTTCACCGCCAGCTTGAGCAAGGTGCGCAAGCGAACCCGTTCTATTTTTGCTACAATGAATAAGGCGCTAAAACGACTTTGATAGTACGCGGACCCCGTGCTCGACAAGCTCGACATCCACCGCGTCGTCACCCATCGCTTGTTCCGTGAGAGCTGCTACAACCACCGTGGCAACTACGTCAAGGTACGTTCCATCCATCGTTGCCTATTGTACTTCGATATCTGACCGCTGTGATATACAGGACTTGTCGCAGCTCGGCCGCCCGATCGAGGACACGATCATCCTCGACAACTCGCCCGCGTCGTACATCTTCCACCCGAACAACGCGGTGCCCGTCTCGAGCTGGTTCAACGACCCCCACGACACGGAGCTCACGGACCTCTGCCCCTTCCTCGCCGACCTCGCAGGGAGCGACGACGTCCGCGGCGTGCTTGACGGTGGCCTGTAACGGCCGATTACGCGTTGTCGCCCCCACGTTCTTCTCGTTGGATATAGCTTGACCCACTTAACGCGCCCTCGCCCCATCCACTCCCGCCTCGCTCTTACTCTTACTCTTTCTCGCTTCGTCTCATCGTCTCACGGTACATACATCCCGCCGCCTATACCCGCAATTGAACGCCGTCTGCCGTCCCGTCCGTCCGTCCGTCCGATCGTGCTCTGTCCGCCCAAGGTCGCCGTGTTTTCAGCCATAGCCCCGCGCGGTTCCTTCAAACTTCTACCCGTCTGCAACAACACACAACCCGCATACAACATACACGAGCGGCGTGCGCTTTCCCTCCCCGGCGCGCTGGACCCCGGCCTTCCACACATTCCTCTCCTCGCTCCCTCCCTTCGGCCCTTTACCTCCTTACATTCCGACCCCCAGTTACGCGCCTTGCTCTCCTAGTCCCGCTCAAGTCTCTAGTCTAGTTACTCCCCACACCTTTCCCCTCCTCTCGCCTCCGTTGATCTGGATATCATCTCTCCGGTTCTCTTTTCCTCGCCTTGATATCCCCGCCGCTCACTCGCAACCACGCTCGCTACCAACCCACCCGCACCGCGCACACCGCAACGAGGACAATTCTTGTTAGGCTCACTCTACAAACGAACAACCCTCTTCCTTTTCCTCCTCCCCCCGTACACTTCCTCTTTCCTCCCCTTTCGGACTCAGGACGTACACACCACAGGAATCGGAACCGAGGTCGGGACTGTATTTATCGCTTACGAATGGTACGACGTGATGAGCCCCGGGCTGGCGACTTTCTGCGTGTTCTCTATCTTACATATGGCATTGTCATCGTCACTGTGTGGCCGGCGATTGGACGCGAAGGGTTTGGCGGGCGGGCGCGCGGGCGTCTGTGGGCTTGTCAGCGGCGTGCAAATCGTGATGTGGACAGGCGCTCGGGCGCTTGTCGAGATAAGGTTGACGCCCTGCACAGCACCGCCGTCGTCGTATGTACGTGCATCGCGACATAGGCAGCTGAAAACGCGCATCCGGTATAGCGTGTACATCTAAAATACGAGCAGCACAGCAAGAGGAACCAGAAAAGATTCACGCGTTAACCGTATATAGTTCTGTATGCGCGAGTGGGTCCGAAATACTTCCTTCGCGTTGCCGCCGGTGTTGGAGTTGCCGGTCTCGGCCCTCGTCAGCGTCTTGGCGTGTCTCGGTCGCATGAACCGCAGTCCGATCTGCAAGATTAAAACCGTCGGGGACTCGGGGCCGGTATATCTGCCCAGTTAGCCCCCGGTGGTCCATGGACCAGAGGTGGCCAGGACACCGAGTTGTATTCGGTACGATAGGCTAGTGCTGTGTCTCTGTACAGCGACGAGGGCCACGCGTAGGAGCGAGCTCCCGAAGCCGCTTCGAAGGCGAGCAAACGCGCCGCTGCTTGTCTCGTACGACGATGACGCCCCGGGCCGGAGTTGGTCCCAGCTCGACTTCATACCGTAGCCGATCCAGACGTCCATATACCTTATACTCGACGCTTTGTGAACAATACGACTGCGCGACAGCAGTCCTGCCCGTACAATTGATCATTTGCGAACAAGCTTCTATCGCACCATGTGCTCGTGCTGTGTCCCCCCATCAACGACGCGCATATATGAGAGCGAGCGCGTCGGACGCGTGTACGTCTTTTCGCTCTGAACACCCATGGCGGTGCCGCAGACGGTGCTGACGTCGAGGTAAGCAGCCCAGTATCTTAGCGCTCGTCTTACAACTGACACGTCTTTCTTCCTAACTCCGTTCCCTTGTCATTCGCGTATAGTCTCCGACTCGACAATGTTGGTGCCACTCGACCTGCAGAGCTCCTGGTGCCCGCATATGCATCGGCTGTATCTCTAGGTCTGCTAACGCTGACCGCCGTATACGCGTTCGCAACGCGTCGCTCGACCAAAGACGGTTCTACGGGTTTTGAGGCCGATGCTACCGACTCTAGCGCCAACGGGCTATCCGAACAAAAGCGACCCTCGCCCGTGTCTGTGCTCGGCGGTACAGCTGCGGTAGCATGGAAAGTTCTCCGAGCGCTCTGCGTAGTCTCACTTCTTGGCCTCAGTATCGCGGACGTTCTGCAGTCGAACACGAACGCTAACAAGGCGCTAACCGCCACATATGTGAATACCCTTTGCCGCATTGTGAACATTGCACTTACCAATCAGCAGACTTACGCCTCCGTTCTGGCGGCAGCATCCCTGACGCCTATCGCAGGCGTATCCCGACATGCATCATTGCACCTGGCTGCAGTCTTACTGGTCACCTTTGCTGTATACCTGTATCGCGACGTCTGGCCTCTGATGACATACCCACTGGTACCTGCCGACCAATTTGAAGGCGCACAGCTCTGGGCTAAGGTCGCCCTCTTGTTCGTTGCCAGTTTCGTCGCGCCCATGGCCACTCCGCGGCGCTATATCCCGTATGACCCAAAGGTGAAGACCGCTCTTTTACTATAAGTTGGGATAGTCCTGACAATGGTAACTTCAGGAGCCCTCTACGCCGAATCCGGTCCAGACGGCCTCGCTCTTTGAGCTCGCGCTGCTCAGCTACTGCGATCCGCTCGTTTGGAAAGCGTACCGCTCAGGCCATTTGCCGTACGAGGAGTTTCCTCCGTTGCCGGATTACGATCAAACGGGTCACCTCGTCGAACGCAGCTTTCCCGTAGGCGCGCTCCTCTTATGCGCAAGAACACGAGCTAACTTGGACCTCTAGCATCTCGATCGATTCTCCGGCGCGAAAGGCTCACTCTTCTGGGGCCTGGTGAAAGTCTTCGGTTAGCTCTCGAGCAGAGATGTGCGCTGATTTTCGCTGACTATCGCTCTGCAGGTCGAGAGTACTGCCTAATTGCCGTCAGTCTCGTCATGAAAGTGATCGGCAGCTTTCTCGGACCTCTGGGCGTCAACCGACTGCTGTCGTACCTCGGACACGGCGGCGAAGACGCGTTCGTACGCCCGTGGGTCTGGGTTCTTGCGCTTTTTCTCGACCCTGTACTCGGCACTTTCGGCGTCTCGTGGTACATGTATCTTACCTCGATGACGCTCGTCCGTATCGAGGCCATCTTCACTTCGCTCGTCTTCGAGCACGCACTGCGTATTCGACCAAGCGCCGACACCGGTTCTACCGAGGCGCCGTCTCATGAAGGGTCCGTGGATGGAGATGCAGCTTCTACGAGCGGCGATACCAGTACGAAGAGCAGAAATCTCGCGGGCAAGCTCAACAACCTTATTTCGACGGACCTGAACAACATCACGCTCGGAAAGGAGGTTATGATGCTCGGTACGTGCTCAAGTACGACCTAACTGCTGTAAACTGACAAGGCTGCAGTGTTTTATGCACCTTTGATGACTGCCTTCGCAATTTGGTTCTTATATGTGATCCTAGGCTGGAGGTTCGTCTCTCCTCTATTATGTCCCGCACTTCCGATCTTATGCATCTCACAGTGCCTTTGTCGGCATCGCCGTGATGGTTCTACTTCTTCCGCTTCCCGGCTATCTCACCGCGTCCTTGCATGGCGTTCAAGAGTCAACGATGAAAAGGACTGATGCGCGCGTGCAAGTCGTCACCGAGAGTAAGTCTAGTATATCTGTTGCCCACGTCCGCACACTCATGTCCTCACTATGTATAGTCATGAACGTCATCCGCATGGTCAAGCTCTTTGGATGGGAACGCAAGATCAACGAGCGAATCTCAGCAACGCGCAAAGAGGAGCTGAAGAGTGTTCGCAAACGCGAGATATTGACAATGATGATACATGTCTTGCAGTGCGTCTAATGGCTGAGATGTAATTGAAGCACGGCAGGGTCTTACTTTTCATCTAGGTACATTATACCTCTTCTCCAAATGCTCGCATCATTCATCGCCTATGTATGTTCTGCCCAGAGCGCTCGAAGTTCTTCGCACTGATGCCCTCGATAGACCGTCGTCATGAAGAAAGAATTGACACGTACGTGCCGACTTCCCTGAAGCGTTTGTAGTACTTAACCGCCCTCAGCTGCCATCGTCTTCTCCGCCATCTCCGTCTTCGAGATACTACAAGGACAGCTCATGAACTTGACGTGGTGGACTCCTCAGATGGTACAAGGTATGAACGCTCAGTGAGCTAAATGCGTTTATGATCGTTGAGCAACCCCCAGCGAAGGTCTCGTTGGACCGCGTGCAGAACTTCTTGAGAGAGGTCAGTCTACATCGCGCATGTCTCCCCCACTTCTGCTGATGCTCGATAGACCGAACTCTTGGATGAATATACCGGAGACCAGGAGAACTACCTGCCATACGACGTGCAGCGCGTCAACGCAATAGGGTTCCACAACGCTCGGTTCACTTGGTCCGTTGACGACGGCACTAGCACGCTGAGGCGGCGCTTCGCTCTCTCCCTGTCGGGCGATGTACTCTTTAAGCCGGGATGCATCAACCTCATCGTCGGTCCGACGGGATCTGGCAAGACGTCCATACTCATGGGTCTTCTCGGCGAGATGCACTTCGACCCACTCGAAACCGGCGGCTGGTTCAACTTACCGCGGGGTCAAGGAGTGGCATATGCGGCGCAGGAGCCGTGGATCCAGAATGAAACGATCAAGGACAACATTCTCTTCGGGGCGCCCTTCGACGAGACACGGTACAAGAAGAGTACGTCGCATCATCTCCTGATCATTCTCGCCGTCGCTGAAGTCCTTCAGCGCTACATCAATGTGGTCTGGAGCCGGACGTCGCTCTGTTCGAGGCTAGCGATATGACTGAGGTTGGCGAGAAGGGTTTGACGCTTAGGTATGTCGTCGAGTTCATGACTCCAAGCACCGCAGCTGACAGTTCTCAGCGGCGGACAGAAGGCGCGGGTCAGTCTGGCGCGCGCTGTCTACAGTTCTGCCCGTATCCTTGTCCTCGACGACGTATGTCGGTCTTTCGCATACCTTCGTTCCTGGCTAATCGTCGCTCAGGTACTCGCAGCGCTGGACGTGCACACCGCCAAATGGATTGTCGACAAGTGCCTCAAGGGTGATCTTATCGTAGGACGTACAGTCATACTCGTTGTAAGCCCATAAAGGTGTCTATCATAGACTTTCGCTCACTTCTTCTCTGGATAGACCCACAACATCGCTATAACGGCGCCGATTGCCGAACACGTCATATCTCTCGACAATGGTCGGGTTGTAGCTCAAGGCTCGATCTCAGCGGTTCTGGACACTGACACGTCCCTCGCGAGCAAGATCAAAGAGGTCAAGGAGGCGCTGAAAGATACGAAGGAAGAACAGGGAGAGGAGCTGACCGAAGAGAAGGCACCTGCCACGAAAGCCGATGGGAAGCTTGTTCTCGCTGAAGAGCTGGCTGAGGGGACCATTACTTGGGCTGCTCGTGAGTTGCAGTGCATATCACCCTTTAGGCGGATCTAACTCGTTTATAGTACGACTCTTCTTCGATGGACTGGGCGGTTCGGTCTTCTGGACGTTGTTCATAGGAGGATACATCGTCAACGCCGTACTCCAATCCGTGACGGTCTGGTTTCTCGGGTACTGGTCGGAGCAGTACGATCTCCATCCGGCTTCCGATGTCAGCGCACCATTGTGAGTTCTCTTTCGTTGGAGCGCATTGCAAAGTCTTATCCCGTGCAGGTACCTGTCCGGTTACGCACTAATCATCCTGGTCACTGTCATCGTATACGCAGCGACAAACGTGCTGTGGATCTTCAGCTTCCTCAATAGCTGTCAGGCAATACATGTCCGTCTCGTATCAGCCGTGCTAGGCACCACTCTTCGTGTGCTGGACTCTACTCCGATCTCCAGGGTGATCACACGCTGTACGCAAGACATCAGCCAGCGTAGGTTTCAGCGATCCTCCTGCAATGAACTACACTGATACGTCCATCTTGCAGTGGATGGTCCTTTCCCTCAGGCGTTTGTTTGGTTCGTCGAGATGACTACCGTCATGTTGATCAAGCTTGCGTCTGTCGTTCTGTTCACCCCTCCATTCTTGGCTCCCGGCCTCGTGACCGTCTTGCTTGGTGGATGGTTGGGAAGGGTATACGTTGGAGCGCAGATGTCGATCAAGAGAGAGATGTCGAGTAGCAAAGCGCCTGTTATTGGTCACTTCGGCGCTGCTGTTTCAGGCCTGAGTAAGTGCGCTTATCTTTCACAGCGTTTCAGGCGCTCATTTGCTCCCTACAGCCTCTATCCGTGCCTATGGCGCACAGACAGCTTTCAGAGCAGAGTCCTATCGCCGTATCAATAAGTACACTCGCACAGCGACCGCCTACTTTGATATGGATCGGTGGATCCACATTCGCATGGACTTCCTTGCCGGACTGTTCGTCGCAACACTTGGGCTTTACATCGTATATGGCCCTGGACGTACAGGTATCCTGGCTTCCGACGTCGGATTTTCGTTGTCCATGGCAGGTAGGCGCGCGTGCTTGCTTGAGGAGTGATTCGATCGCTGACCGAGTGCCGTGTAAAAGTGAGCTTCGCTAGTTCTATTCTTTACTGGATCCGTGTGATGAACATGGTCGAGATATCGGGTACGTATCAGTCGCATGTCCCTGTCTCAGCCGAGTACTAACCTCCTTTGTACGCGTAGGCAACAGGCAAGCGACCTTTTCCTATCGTTCACCAGCCGCTTGACTGACATACTCCGCTAGTCTTGAGCGCATTCATGCATATACCATCCTGGATCAAGAACCAAAAGCGACCGAGGACGGTGTGCCACCTGCGTACTGGCCATCTTCGGGTGAACTTCGCGTCGAAAACCTGTCAGCCAGGTACTCAAAGGTCGCTCGTCATTATTCCGTTCACGCTCAATATCTCCTAACACCACTGTTTCAGGACTCCCCTGAAATTCTACACGACCTCAGTTTCACTATCAAGTCCGGCGAACGCATCGGGATCGTAGGGCGAACTGGTAGCGGCAAGGTATGCATCCAGATCTGCTCTATCTACCTAGACGCGTCGAGCTGAACAACGGCCGTAGAGCTCCCTGACACTCTCACTTCTTCGTGCCATCATTACGGAAGGAGATGTATATCTGGACGGTCTCCCTACGCGCAACTTGAACCTAGACTCATTACGAACAAGTATCACTATAATCCCGCAAGTGGTAAGACTCCTTAATCCGTGTGATTTGAACCTGCTTGATAACTCTCCCTGCAGCCCGAATTGCTGAGCGGCACTATCCGCGACAACCTCGATCCCTTCAGTCAATCCGACGATGCGACATTAAACAGTGCATTGCGTTCCGCGGGTCTGAACTCCTTACAGAACGATGATATGGATGAAGATGGCCGCATAACTCTCGATACCGAGGTCGCAAGCGGCGGGGGAAACCTTTCAGTTGGACAACGCCAGATCATCGCGCTCGCTCGTGCTCTAGTTCGCGGCAGCAAACTGCTCATTCTCGATGAGGGTATGTGAACGATTGGCGCTCTCTTGTCCGTAAGCTGACGGTCCCTCATCATAGCTACCTCTGCCATTGACTATAAGACCGACGCTGCGATTCAGCAGTCCCTACGCAACGAACTACCGAAAGACGTCACAGTCATCACCATTGCTCATCGCCTACAAACCATCATGGATGCTGATAAGATCGTGAGCCTTCCTACTGTTTGGGGAGGAATCGCATGGGGCTAATGCATGCGCAGCTCGTCCTCGACGGAGGAAGACTGGCTGAATTCGACACACCCGAAAGGCTGTTAGAACGAGAAGGTATCTTGCGGGCCATGGTGGACGAGAGTGACGACAAGGACACGTTGCGGAGTATGGTAAAGAGAGTGATAGGATTATAGAGTAGTTTGAGCGTAATCTGTTACATACATGCTAAATACGTTCGTACGCAGTTCACCAACTATTGGGCGCTGGCACGTAAACTCGTACAGAGTTGATCTCCCAGAACGCATCCTTGAACGCTTGCGGATTATTGTTCACGACTGTAGTGTAGAATGAGCATTGTACCAAGTAAATGTGTGACAACAACTCACAGTCTTCGCATGTTCCCGCGTCCTTCCCGCACCCGGAGGAGGCCCATGCATTACCAGCCCAATCCCCCTGTGAACGACTCAGTAATAGTCGAAAAGATCTCATGGCAGACTTACACAAAGGGTCAGATCGAACACCATCCTGTGCGCATCAAAGTGATCTCCATACGGGCAGTTATCGTTGGTTGGGAATGTGGCAGCCGGCGTTCCCCAGGATACGCTAGGTGCAGCGACCGCGCCGCCGTACCTGACCTCCACAGGGACAGAAGTCGAGGTACGGGGCCAGAACCATACGTTGATGCCTCCAGCACGGGACTTGGACATTGCATAGAATCCGCCTCCTACGGCGTTGAAGGGTGCCCCAAAAGACGGAATAGATGCATCGGCGCGGCGCTCCAGCTCGCCGCCCGCGCCAACGCTGAAGAAAGACGCCGCATCCGTAGCAGTCGACACATCGCTAATGGCCTCTTCCGGAGCTGCCACTGCGCCCTGCGCGAAGCTGACCGGATCAGACCACATCCCGTACGCTGATGGGGAAGAACTAGCGGTCGCATCCGTCGCATATGGGGTTGACCAGTTGAATACCGAGCTGGGGGATGTCTCGACCTCCGCCGCGCTGTACGTTTGATAGCTGGCAATAGATCCGGTTGAGGAAACGGTAGTCGAGGATGAATACGACGACGTGGTAGCAGAAAGTGATGTTGAACCAGCGACATCCTCTGCCTGCGCGATAGCTGGCTCGTATTCCGCGGTGTCCGAATCTGGTTCGGTGAAGAGCGTCCCGCAGCCTTGATTGCTGTTGAGAGCGGCGTCACAATCTGTAGATATAGTCGTCCCCGTTTGCGCGCGGTCGTGCGGCATCGAGCAGCCCGCCGTCGTATGCAAGGACGCCAGATTCTCTGTGCCGAGGTTCACTCCTAAAAGGGGAGCAATCTGAGGCGCAGACTCTGCAGAGAATAAGGTCATGCCGAACCTTCGATGATGTCTATTTCTCCACCAGATGGCCAAGGACCGGCAGCGCTGACCGTCCACCACGCCGGCCATGTCGCGCAGCCGGTTGGCATGTGCGTTACGTCGATCACAAATAATGCTTCATCGTAAGAGGCCTTCGAAGAGATGCGAATCGAATCGCGACCTCTGGCGCTCTCCGGTATGACAGACACGTCGTCCGCGCGCATCACGAACTTCTGGGAGTTGGCTACATCGTATTGAGGCTTGTTTTCGGCCTGAGATAGAGACATACATACCGAAGGATAAGTTATGCTGCCTGGCGGCACTCTGGTCAACCTGAAGACGCTGTAAGCAAGCGATCATGAGCGGATGCGACGCTAGCGCTCACGTAGTTTGTCCTACCATGTGTAGGATCGTCAAACGTCTCCCATTGCCAGTGCTCATAGAAATCGTCGCCGATATATTCGTCCTGCTTCAGGAAGACGGTCGAGGCACCGACACTGGAGAGTACGGCCAGCGGGAGGAGGGCTAGGATGTTCGCACGCATGAATGAGGTAGTATGGGATCAACTACCATCGGGTGTGCGTTATAGCTTTATGCGGTCCAAGGAGAGACGTAGAGTGCGGTTGCGGCGCCATTGCGAGCATACGTTGAAGTTGATGTGGCAGTCGAAAGCAACTTGACTTGTGACGCGAGCCACTCACTCGCGGCGCGCGGGTCGGGCGCGTGGATCGGCGAGACTTCCTTCCATCCACCATCTCGTGCCATGGCCCAGTCAAATTCTTTACATATTCTGGCTCGCGTGGTGTTGGTCTATTATAGAATGCACAAAAACCTTGCCACTTTTGACCGCATCATGGACTTGTACAACGCGTACATCTCATCGACTGTGCGAAGCCCTAGTGAACTCGAGGAAGGTTTTTCTCTGAACAATGTTCTCGCCGCTCTTGGCCTTTCCCCGGACACCTACAAAGTAGACTCCTCTCAACAATCTTTCCATGCGATCAAAACACACAACAATTCAACCTCTGCTCTGGACAGTGCTGCGACTTTGCTACAGCGCTTCGAACGCGCTCGGGGTGGCGCAGAACTATTGGACGAAGCCGTTCAGGAAGGACGCGAGTCTCTACACCTGGCTGTGAGCGATGGCGATCAGATCGCTTGTCTCGATGTACTTATTCCAGTTCTTTGGGCGCGGTACATGCTGTACGGCAACTCCGGGTTGCCACGCGTCCTACCCACTCTGACAGAGCTCTGTCGTCGCGCCTATGTGCTCGGGGTTCTTACCCCAACTCGAAGGTGCTTGATGGCCGAGAGTCTGGCTCTTGTTCTCCTTACTGCTTACGACGAGTCGAACCCCGCGAATCTAGATCACTCTCCACTATTTGAAGCAGCGGATCTATACAAGAAAGCTCTACATTTCCATGAGACGGGCGCACATGACGATGACGCTCACCACGCTCACGTCTTGTTATCCTCTGTCGCTGTCGAGATCCAGGTTTCGGACGTCGAAGATGAACAAATGGATCTTGACGGGGCCCTCGAGAAGATGTGCCAGGCGCAAGATCTTGGTCTCACCCATGGGCCTTTCCTTGGTTCATTCGCCGCGTTGCTTGAAGCGCGTTATGACGAACGTAATCATGCTAGGGACCTAGATTCGGCCGTATCCCTACGCCGCCAACTATGCGTCGTTCACCACGCCGGACATCCTGGCCACGCTGAAGCACTATCTTCACTCGCTAACGCTCTATGGCGTCGTTATAGGCTTAAAGGCGATGTCCCAGATCTTGAAGAATGTCTCGAGCTACGCCGCGAGCGTTTACGGAAAACTCATCCCCACGATGGACCTAGGTGTATTGACGCAATTCTCAACCTGGTCGATGTGAAACTTCATATACTTGAATCTGAACGCTCTGACGCATGGGGAGCTGTGCTCGATGATCTCCGCCTCGGGAGCTTCGACATGGCCGAAAGGCTAGACAACGATCCTGTTGTTGTGTCGGCTATATTGGCAGAAATCGGCAAAAGGCGATTTCAGGCAGAACCTTTCCTTGCTTATCGTTGCTTCGGATATGCATCTTCCTCCTCGGACTACAACCTTGAACTCCGGTATCGGGCTGCCACACAGCAAGCGGAGGCCGCATTAGCTCTTGGCAGCCTGCCCATGGCGATCAACGCGTTTCGTGACTCTTTCAAGCTTCTTGATGAATGGTTGGCGACCCAAGCGACCATAGAACTGCGACAGTTCACGCTTTCACTCCTGCGTGCTCATCAGCCCGCGTACCGCGCGTTCTCCGTGGCACTCGAGGCAAGAGAGCTGGAGACGGCTGTCGAGTTTCTCGAACAAGGCAGAGGTCTACTCTGGTCCAAGATGAGAGCCTACCGTGAAACTCCGGAAGGCCTAGATACGGTGCATCCCCAAATAGCAAGGGCCCTACGGGACTGCCAATATCGCCTTGAGCAACTCACCACGAGCTCAGCGGTATCGTCGGCACTCGAGAAAGCGCCACCTTTGGGTCCAGGCTGTGCGTCCAATCAGGTTATGGACGTCTTCAAGCACAGTCTGGCTCAAGAGCATCGTTCCTTGGCGCAACGACATGCCGCGTTGGTCCAGGATATACGGGCGCTGCCCGGTTTTGAGCATGCATTTCAGCCGAAGACCTTCAAGTGGTACCAGGAGGCCGCCGCGGAAGGGCCTATCATCATCTTAAATGTGTCGAAAGAGGTCTCGGACTTTGTCATCATCGACCACTCCCGTCCGCCTATTGCTTTCGCGCTATCCTCTGAACTTCCAAGCCTAATACCAAAGTTCATTGAAGCGATCGACGTAGCTCAGCGAGGGTCACGACCAATGGCTATGCGCCGCCCATCGTTCAACATCCACGTTGCTCTACGTGCTCTTTGGAAGTACATATGCCAACCAGTCAGTGCGGTACTTAAGGGCCTAGGCTTCCATAAAGGGTCGAGGATCTGGCTTTGTCCATGCGGAATGTTGTCGACCTTGCCGCTTCATGCCGCTGGGCCGTATTCTGCGAACGATGACACTCATGGCGAGCTTTTCGGCGATCTGTTCACCATCTCCTATACCTATACACTCTCTGCGTTGATTGAGTGCAGGCGGAAGCGGGCCAGATCTTCCGTGCCTGTCCTGTCTCATCCGTCTGACCTCGAGATACTCGCCGTTGGTCAATCATCACAACTCTCTATGGTAGGTTACATCCCCCTCGCTCTAGGCGAGTCTTGGCTCATGTCATGCAGGTTGAAGAAGAGTTACGACTTGTAGGCGAGATCTTTAGAGATCAGTCGGTGATCCTGGATAATCAAGCGGCCAAACCCGACACGATATTCGAGCACTTGCTAAGAGCGAAGATTGTCCACTTCTCCACTCATGGTGAACTCCGCGCAACACGTCCATTTGAATCGCACTTCGTCTTACATAACGACGAGCGCCTCAGTCTGCTTCAGATCATGCGAAGCCGGCTTGAACGACCCGAGCTTGCGTTTCTCGCAGCATGCCATGCTGCCGCAGGAACTCACCGATCCCCGGACGAGGCGCTCAGCCTAGCAAGCGCCCTTCTCTTCTGCGGCTTCCGGTCGGCAGTAGGGACGCTATGGACGATGGCAGACGAAGACGGTCCCGTATTGACACGTCTCTTCTATGAGCGATTGCTTTTGCATCGCGATGCCGAGGGAGGCGCAGACTGCTCGCGATCAGCTGAAGCGTTGAGTGAGGCTGTCAGGGAGATGCGTAAAAGGGGTGTTCCCGTAGAGCGCTGGAGCACATTCATACATGTTGGTGCCTGATCCCAACGCATGAGCTGGGAAGACGTCTATGGAAATTGATACGGAACGAGAGTTGCGACTGATTATCAAGGCGTAGGCGCGTAGTGCTGTATTGGTGTCCTGGGAGAAAACCGGCAATCACCGGAGACGCTAGAGTTGTTCAACACGACGCCGGCAGATGGCCTTGCTTCTCAACCATCAGCCTCGATCCCGTCACGATATAAAGCGGGGCGTCATATACGTGTAGAGATACTCTTCCGATGCACCTCTTGAGAAAATATATCGAAGCATGAGCACCGCGTCCATTACACCGGCCACCCTGATCAGTCTCCCTGACGACATCATATGCGAACTATTCTTCGCCCTCGCGAAGGTCGACGTTCCTCGTCGAGCTTCGACTCAGAACTCTCCGAGACTATTCGACGATTTCGCAGAGGATCGACATCCTTCACTCGGTTGGATCAGGCTGACACACGTCGCTCGTCGTCTGCGCCACATTGGTATTGATCTACCCACCCTCTGGGGTCGCGTAGTCAGCATCTTTCCTAGCGCACGGGAGACTACCTTCGCGCGTTCACGAAACGCACCGCTCGATCTGTATCTTGGACAAAATGGGTTCAATGCTTACTCCCATTGGCCGATCGCCACCGATGCTTTACTCGCTCGCGCTCGCTACATTCAGGACGTCGTACACCCCGATGCGCGAGGATGGTGGGTCGACACCTCTCTGCCGTGTCTCGAAATCTTGCAAATCGAGATCAAGGACACCGTGTTGAACGAGTCTTTGGCGCTGGGACAAGTTATTGCTCCAACTTTGACATCCTATGGCATATACGGCGGGTTCATACCATTCCACGCCCCCTCGCTTCAGCGTCTTGTGGTTGGCCACAAAGTTGTATGGACGACGTTGGTTGACTCTCTGCGTACCTGCCCGTTCCTGGAGATGCTCGTGATTACGGACACGCGGGAGCCTTCAGAGCCCGCGCCGGCTGCGGCAGAGCCTGTTGAGCTCATGCATCTCACGACTTTCAGACTGACAATACCATCTTCAATGAGCGCATTGAAACTCATTGAGTGTCTGTCCGTGCCGGCGTCTACAAGGCCGGAGATCAAGAACTGTACATCGTTGATCTTGTTCCGCAACGTCGTTCAGCGCGACACACTTTCAGGATACAATGCCTTGAGCATCTCCATCGAGCGTACAGGGGATGCCTTCAGTTTCCATCGTGTCGAAGCCAATGTCTCGAAGCGAGCTCATACTACTTTTGACGCATACCGCGTTCGGCCCAGCACTGGCATCACAACTATCCATTCGTACTTCAGCTACGATCATGCACTCCCTCATCTGCTTGGAGGTGGTTTCACGCCTGAAGCCGCGTGCCGGTTTGACACCTTGGTATTCTACAGTAACCTCGGCGCTAGCAACGCCCTTCTCCCTCCTCTTTCCGCCTCGGGATCTGCGCTCGCAAACATCGGGAGTAAGTTGCGCGCTTTTTCGGGGATAACAACCCTATACGTCCAGCGCGAGAGCGCGCAGCTTCTACTCGCCATCCGAGACACGATAGAGAAGAGTGTCGACGAGATGCCCTACCCGTCACTCAAAACCATCATACTTGATGTGTTCACCAGTCATCTGGATGCCTCCCTTTGGGATGGCATCATCGATCTTCTCCTTTATCGCAAGGGCTACAGATGCCCGCTTGAGCGCTTGGTGATTATGGGCAGTCATCTCTGCCATCTTTCACCAGATGCCAGTGATGGTAGCGAGGCGCTGAAGACGATCGATCTTCGACCGGTCGAGGGTCTCGTAGGCGAGATCGTGGACCTGCGTGAGGGGGAAGCGTGTACTTGTGGCGCTGTTTGATCATATCGTGATGAACATTCATGACATATACAAGCTCCTGTCAGGGCGAGGAACGTCATTTCGGCGTCTGTATTTTGTACATGTATACATCACACAATTATATACCAAGCCACACAACATCCAATCAATATACTTATGCTCGCTGGTATCACGCATCATCCTCGAATCCAGACTCGAACAAATAGTTCGCGGCGAGCTCCTCATTCTTATCGCACGCGAAGTACGCCTCCAAGACTGCCTGCCTTGGGAAGCCTAGCGCCTCGAGTCTCTCAATCGCCGCGCGTTCTTCCGGCGTAACGCTCACAACCTGAGCACCAGGAGGAATGCCTCCTTCGGGAGTCTCGATACCCTCCATCCCCTCCGGCCCAAGATCAGCGAACAGCTCAAACAGCGCTTGAGGGTTCTGCGCGATCTGCTGTGCCAAACCGGGGTTGCGCGCGGCCATCTCCTGTAGCATCGGCTGGAGAAGATTAGGGTTCTGCGCGATCAGGTCGCGGACTTGTGCAATCTCCGGGCTGTTGCGCAGTGCGTTGATGTCGAGACCACCGCCGGCGGGCAGGCGAGGGCCGCCAGCAGGCGTTGCGCCCGTATTGGCTTGTTGCTGCTGAGCGAGCTGAAAGAGGTTCTGCGGGCCGCCTGCAGGCGCCGCGGGCTGTTGCGCGGCTTGGGCAGGCTCGGCGGGTGCGGCGGTGGCGGGTGCGCCACCCTGGGCTGCAGGTGCCGCCGGGGCAGCACGCGGTGCGGCAGCGCCTCCAGCAGGAGCGGCGTTCGCTTGCGCTTCAAGATGCGCCGGGATACCCTGTGTGATACAATCCTGATTAGTACTAGGACTGCTCTACTTGGGTGGCTATACACACGTTGAAGAGGTACTCCACCGCACGATCGGGGTTGTTATAGCTTGCGCGCAGTGCGCGGAGAACTTGCTCGCGGTCGAAGCCCATCTCGACCATGTTGTTCACGGTCGACTGGAGCTGATCGCCGGTGAGGAACGAGCTCTCATTGAATGGGCCAGAGGGTTGCGCCGGAGCGGGTGCAGCAGGCGCAGGCTCGGAAGCTACCGGTGCGGGGGCTGCAGCAGGTGTGGGTGCAGGCGCGGCGGCAGGTGCCGGAGTGGCAGCGGGTGCTGGTGCTGGTGCGGGCGTAGAGGGCGCGGGAGTAGATGCGGCAGGCGTGGTGGCGGCTGGGGTCGCGGGCTTTGCCTACTCTAAAGTTAGATATGCATTGAATGTGGATATAGAAATGTTTACCTTTGCCACCATGAGGACTAAGAAGTCCTTCTCCTTGATGTTACATGACGCGATCGCCTTGTCGTCCGCTAGGACCTTGCCTTCGACGCTTGGTGAGTGGTTGCACCAGGACCCGGATATTAGTAACATACCCGAGAATATAATCTTCTGGTTCTCTACTGGGTGACCCTGCTCGGCACTAATCTTGGACTTGAGATCGCGAACGGTATCCGATTCAGCAGTCTCGATCTACGCGCGAATAGAATTTAGACGCGTCTCGGACGCGTTCCAGAGATGCAGACGCGTACCGTGAAGACCTTCTGCTGTAAGGTCTTGATAGTAACTTTGACCATGGTGACCACGTCTTCTTATACGATCTATAGGAAGATATGTGATCTGAGATGGGAAATAAGAAGGAGGTGGATGTCGAAGACAAGGACGGTGAGAGCCACAGAGCTGACGCGTCTTTGGATCCCCAACTGACCACGTGGAAATAATCAATTGATTGGCGCCCATACGCGCTGTCAACGTGCTCGCTGAAACCCCTGTTTCCGGCCAACTTCAGTCTGCTTCTCCGACTGCTTGCCTCTTGCTACCACTTGCCATCTTTATTCTGTATACCCAACTCAGCTATCTCTGCTACGGCTGAGTATATTGGAGTTATCTCAGGCACTCTGAACCCTATCGGCGGATCTCAACTTGCTGGTCCACTGCGTGGCGCTGCCTCACCTCTTGCGCCTGCTTCCACCACCTCCTGGTCTATCTTCTAGCTTACTCGGCTATCATCATATTCTTGAGTCTCGGACTTCCAAACAAGCCTGCAATAGTCTTGGAGTACCAGACCTGCGTGTTCGGTGACGCACTGCCTGGCCACAAACCACGTTAAGACCCCACGACTGCCGAATAACCTCAACTCTCCCCCTCTAAACGTATGTATTCTTTAGCATCCATCTTCTCCTCGGAAATAAATCTCGCACAGCACCACCGCCACTATGGAACACGAAACCGGCGACGCCTACATCCGGCGCATGGCAACCTTCGTGCGCACCAACGAGGCTCGCCTAGCAGAAGGTGGCCCTCCGCGCCGACGACGACCCAGATCATCAACAGCGACCAACGGTGCGATGTACAACCCCGCATCCTGGTTCTCCGGCGCGACATCCGCACCCGCCGACAACCGCCCGAAACCGCTTACCTTTTCCATCGACACGCACCACCTATTCTACCTCCTCATCCGAATGGAAGCGCTCGGCTTACCGGTGGGCTCGCTGGACGTACGAGTGGAGAACGCGAGCAGACCGATGAGCTATGTCGGCATACCAACTACCTCAACGGACTCGGACGTGCTCTCGCTCACGAGCATCCGGACGTCCCTCTCAGCCGTCTCGCGCCTCTCGCTCGGCGCACCCTTCTGGGGACGCACTCCACCGAAGAGCGTCGACGACGAGCTCAAGTACCTCTACAGCGCCTTCACCAAGCTCCCCGCTCTCAGCTTGAAACCGGCTGGGCCGAAAGTGATCGCGGAGCTGGCGAATGAGGCGCCGAATACGAATGCCCTGCCGCTTGACGTCTTCAAGAACGTACAAATACTCGAGATCACGGATATCGACCCTCGTACGCTGCTGGGATGGGATCGGCTGGCGGACACGCTCTGGAGTTTGTCGATCAAGAGGAGCGGATTGGACGACATCTCGGATCTGTTTATCGGGGCCGTATTGGATGACGCGGCGCGTCGTGCGGGGGAGAAGCCGCAGAGGAGGCGACGGACGATGCATGGGCCTTCGCGGCAATCGTCTTTCCACTCGACGCGAATACCCGACGCAATCGATGAAAGCGCCGAGGATGCGCCGACGCCTACCGTCGAGCGCTCGCCACAACCTCTCTCAGATGATCCGACCACACCGACGGCAGTTCGCTCGCCTTCACCGCTCGACAGCCCTTCTTCACCCGACGAGCCGGAGCTTCCGCCAGGCAAATGGGCTTACATGCGCCGACTAAGCCTATCCGACAACGCCCTCACATTCCTCCCAACTGCTCCCCTCCGCTACTTCACTTCTCTATCCTACCTCGACCTCTCATCCAACCTCCTCGTATCCGTCCCCGACGGCCTCGCAGTCCTCTACAACCTCACCACCCTCGACCTCTCCGACAACATGATTGACTCTGTACTAGGAATTTACAAACGCCTGGGCTCCATCACCACCCTCTACCTCGCGCATAATCGATTGGACTCTCTATGCGGCCTCGAGCGCCTCATGGCTCTTGAGCGCGTGGACGTACGTTCGAATATCCTCGACGATTCCGCCGAGGCAGGCCGTCTCGCTCCTCTTCCTTATATCCGCGACGTGAGCGTGTCAGGGAACCCCTTCGCCGAATACGAGCCCGACTTTAGGATCAAAGTGTTCGACCACTTCTGGCGCGAAGGGCACGAGATCAATCTCGATGGGTCACCGGCGGGATTCTACGAGCGCCGGGCGCGCGCCGAGGCGCCTTCGGCACAGATGAGCTCGTCGCGCCCGGCATCGACTGCGCCTGCTGCGCCCAGTCCACCAGTTGTAGCTGTGGGCAGCCCGCCGCCTGCAGGTGCGGTAGGAAGTCCGCCGAGCTCGAGTGGGCCCAGTCCTGCGCTTGTGGCGACGAAGCACAAGAAGCGCAAGCCCAAACGGATCGTCGATCTCGACGCAGGCGCACCAGCGCCTTCACCACCTACTGCACCCTCGCCTGCGCCCGTAGCCTCTCGGAGTCCACCACTCACGAGACCACCGACCAAGCATCGACGCTCAGCGACGGATACCGTCTCCGATCTACCCTCGACCACAGAAACGCTCGGACGCGCTACGACGAAACGGAAGAGCCGTGCCGCGCGCGTGAGCGCAAGCGTGTTTGAACCGCCTCCAGTAGGGAGTCCCGAAGCTGCGAGGGAGAGGGATGAACATAGGGATGCGGAGGCGTTCAGAGCGAGGATTGAGGCGCTCAGAAGTGACGTTGGTGAGGGGTGGCTGAAGATGTTTGCGGAGGGCCAGGTTGTGGGGCCTGCTGTCAGTGGGTCATAGGAAGGGATGAGATGGGGGACGTTGTGATCAGTGGATGTTTGCGATACCTTTTACACGGATGCGCTTATCATGTTTTGTTGTTTATTTTATATCATGCTCTTGATGAACCGTTTACATTATGGATGCTCATCAGTACTCGATATGTCCAAGAATGTTGCAGATTGCGATTGCGGTCGTGGACGAGGGACTACGGCGGTTGGCTGGAAGACTTGGACGGCCCATTTAGTTACAAGGATATCCTACATCGATGCCGTCTACACACAGAAAGTAAGCCAGTGTGGCAGCATAGGGCGACAACTCGCCGTCCGAGGCGTAAAAGTTACATGAAACAGATATACGCGCGTCGGCAAATGCCGATGATCCCTGCCACGACTCGCCCGGAACGCCCATCTTGTCCGGAACCACGAAAATATCGTACCGTTTGCCTACTCGAGGCGCTCCTGCATACGCTGTATCTGCCCTGTCATTGAGATAGGTGCTCATGAGCTCAGGCGTTGTGTGAGTCATCTCTCTATAGCGTCGTATAAGTATCATCCATCTGACGTCAACATGCCCGCATCGGACAGGAATATTTGGGATAGTGCTGTAAGCACAAAGCTCACGGTCCGACAAACGCATGAGACATTGCACGAACATCGTGTACGCTTGGATGACGATATCGAACACCTTGAGCGCGCACTGGCCGTCGCGAAAGAGCTGCGCAACTGCAGTGCTCCGATCCTCACTCTTCCCGACGAAATCATCCTTGAGATCTTCTCGACATTACGAGACTTGTTCTTCCCTGTGACGCAGCAGAGACCGAATAAGTCGGCGTCTGGCTCCTGGCTCGTGGTCTCTGCTGTCTGCCATCGATTCCGACGTATCGCTACAACCTCGCCCGGGCTGTATTCTCGCATCTCCACGCGGATTCTGCCGGGAAAACGCGTGTTAGCAATGATGAAGGCCTCTCGTCCCTTGGACCTTGATCTCGATGTTGGCCTGCCTCGGGACAGTGAAGATGTCGATATGATCCGCAAATACCTCTTAACCCACGGACCTCGTGTACGCACTTTCAGCATGCAGATCAACAACGAATGGGCACGATCGATGACAGCGTGGATACGCTCGATCCCTCGCGTCACGACTTTGCTCATGTCTAACAAGACCGAGGAAGGATATCCATCAGGGGCGGGGTCAATAGTCACTTTCGGTCCAAGCATCACCCAGCTCATGCCACGGCTAACTTGTCTGCACGTAGACGGCGTTTACCTGGATTTCACCTCCCACATCTTTCTCAATCTCACAGAGCTATCTCTTAGCCATGTGAAGATCCTGAACGCACTAGTCTCAATCGATGCTTCAGACCTTCACACCCTGCTGGGACGCATGAAGAGACTGGAAAAACTGGCTTTAAGCAGTATACGGGTTGGAACTTCTATCGACGCGGACATACCCCTGCCAGCATCCTTACGCTATTTGGAGTACACGACACCTTCGTCACTACTCGTATTCTCTCGGTTCATTCCTTCCCCTGTCGTGCACGTCAGGGTCGTTCAAACAGGGACCCCGACCTATGCGAAATCTTCGTCAAATTTAAAGCATTCACTCAAGATTCTCGCCTCGTGGCTCGGATCGAATAGCCCTGCCACCGTTGTGGCGTTGACTATCCGATACAACACGGTTGCAGCGGAAGCATGCGTCGCATACTGGCGGAATTCAAGTGATCATGCGGCAGGGGCCGAGCCGGACTTTAAGCTCGTCCGTTACGTCGACGAGAACTTCGGCATGAGCAAGCTCCTGCTCGGCCACCTCTATGACCGTGTCACACACATATACATCGACGCGGACTGGGATTATCCGCTGTTGGACGGCAAAAGGCAATGGTTGCATGAGTTGGGGCCTCTACCGAATCTTCGTTCCCTACACATCACGGGCCCACGAACGTCTCTGGAGCCTTTGAATCTCGTCAGAGTGGCATCGCAGGATTCGGTCGCGTTCTGGGAAGCTAGCCAGCTTTCCATGGAGGATCGCGCGTGTATGGGAGATGAGCGCATCTTGAGACATTGGTTGTCCGCGCGTAGTAGCCGCGGGCTTCCCCTACAAGTTTTGGCTCTGCCTGCACACGTAGCAGTTGCTTTGGATAAGGTGGTCGCGGACGGCGCTGGGCCCGTCGAATGGCGAGGGCTTGGACTGGAGGTGCTCATCGATTACAAGGCGTGACTGCCACTCATATAGACTACCGAAAATACAAATACTGATGGAGATACATACCATAATCTTGGAAAAGCCTGTAGCATGCGCCTAGTGGATCCAACTTCGCTGTCGATGAAGTAAGCTCGGTCGATTAGATAGTGCATGTGGTAGCTTGTCAGCCATAGACATGGCTTACAGTGACATCTGCTCCGCACAAACTTGAGCGGTACAACCGAGCGTACGATCCTCTTTAAGAGTCCCTGGCGGCCTATTATGTGAGAAAGAGCTCGGCAAACGCCGATAGCCGCGTGCACGCAACGACGGGCGTGGCGCACGAGCCTGCCACCAACCACGATCATAAGGTCAAGACTCATATCCTGATTCAAGTGCCAGCTTCTCGCAAGCTCGCTATACCCAACTCCTTGGCTTATCGTAGCTATCTGAGTGTACCATGGATGATTCCAACGCGTGAGTTGCTCAATGGGCCCCTCGAACCAGAGGTCTACAAAGACTGAAGACGTGCCTCTTCTTCATCGCAGTACCCCTTGGGACCGACTTGCGCGCGCACGACTTACACCACGGCAAGCAAGCGAGACCTTGAATAGTCATCGTCTTCGAGTAGAAGACGATATCGCAGCTCTACAACGCGCCCTCTCGTATGCAAAGGAGCTCCGCAATGCCAGCACCCCCTTCCTCACTCTCCCGGACGAGGTCATACTCGAGGTTCTGCTTGCGCTGCGTGACCTGTACTACCCGTCTAGTACTAGCTCTGACTTTTCATCGACGGTCATAGATCCCACGTGGGACGTTTGCACCACACTATGCCGCCGAATCCGCTCTATTGCTCTCAGTTCGCCTCTCCTATTCACCCGCCTCTCCACTCGAGTGTCGACGTGGAGCTTCATAGATCGATGCATGGATCTGTCCGGCAGCTTGGACCTCCACCTGGAGATTACAGAGGCTCTTACTGTACATGAGTACCCGGCCGTACATCAATCTCTTACTCGCCACGGTCATCGGATAGCGGACGTATCTCTCAAAGTCACTCGACAGACAATCTTCAGGTTTACTCCGATGCTCACATACATGGCGAACGCCAGACAATTCGCTTTGTCGTGTGAAGGCCCTGGACCAGGAACTCTCTTCAGCCTGGCACTTGCCCAACCTTGGCTACCCAATTTACTCACTTTGACAATGATAGGCATTCATATCGATTTTAGACCCAGCATCGCCGACAACCTCCTCGAATTACGCTTGCAAGACGTGGTACTTCACGAGCAGGGCGAAGAGCACTCTCTCGTATCCATACTCCAGCGTGTGACGCGTCTACGGCGCCTAGCTCTTGTCAATGTCAATTGTCAGCGAATTGCCGCGGGCGATCAACCGCCGCAGTCGGACATCTTTCTACCGAATTCTCTATGTTACCTTGAGTATGCGTCTTCTACGCATTTCAATCTACTACACCGTCTTCATCCCTCTCCCTCCGTGCATGTCTACATCATTCACACCACCGTCCCGACCGACTCGAAGAGAGAAACCCGATCATTAATTCAGGTCTTACAGGCTTGGTTGGGCAATGAAAACCGTCCAACCACTGTCGAAGTGGGCATACGGTACAATACAGCTGCTCTAGAAGCCCGTATCTCATACTGGAAATCCCAAGAAAGCCGAGTGTTGGGACGCACTCCGGACTTCGAACTCGTCCGTTACGTTGATGAAGACTTCCACATCAGGGACCTTCTGTTGGGCATCACTCACGGCCTAAGATCCAACAGCGGCACCTTGTACGCGGATGTCGCCGACATAACTTTCAACGTGGAATGGGAGTACCCGCTTCTATGCTGCATGAATGATTGGCTAGAGTGCATCAGCCCTCTGAACGCACTTCGCGCGTTGCGTTTCACAGGTCCACGGACGTTGATCGCCCCACCGCATCTCTCCCTATGGCCCGAACCCAACGTCAGACCCCTATGGATGCCAGCACGCCTCTTCGCGGAAGACCGCGAGCCAATGGGCGACGTGCGCGTCCTCCTTATATGGTTGACTGAGCGCAGCGCTCGCGGGCTAGCCTTGCCTAAGCTCAGCGTACCCGCGCATATGGCAGTCGCTCTGGACGAAATGGAGGTCGAGACCAGCTCAGAAACAACTGATTGGCGAAGATTAGTTACGAACTTGCATGTCGACTACCGAGCATGAGATGATGTATTTCCGATACAGTCTTACCCACCGATGAGCGATGCGACAATGCGATAGCGACTTGACGAAGCAGTCTAATGATACAGTAGTACAGCAGCTTGTGTTACATGATATCAATGCATGAGAGGCACATCGGTCGTATCCTCCTCCAGCCATATCTGCTCAACGGTCGTCTTCGGCGCAGCCAGACGCTCCGGCGTAGGTTGGAAGCACTCAGGCAGCTTTGTGCTCTCCCAGGACTCACCACGAATAAGGGCCGCGATGCCCTTCGAGCAAGTGAAGGTACGCGCCATACCGTGGCCAGAGTGACCGGCAGTGATGAAGGAGTTAGGCTTGTCATGGAGTGCACCGACGTATGGGACCTGCGAGGATATGTTAGTCAAGAAAGAGGAGATATAGAGATAAGTAACTAACCGCTTCGGGCGTGTACCCCATAATACCAGCCCAGTCGCACAGCAGTCCTTCGCCGAGGGTCTCCTCACCCCAGCCCTTCATGTACGTCTTCATAGAGCCTGCGAGATGCTCTGTCAGCTCAGGCAACTTCACGCTATCATCCGTATGGCCTGCAAGCTCCTTCATGGGGACCTTCCAACGGCCGCCACCGATGATCACGATGCCGTCCTTCGGTCGTTGAATCATGTAGTCGAAGTTGTTCTGCGCAATGCGATGTTAACTTGTGCGCGACACAGACATGTTGAAGCGCACGTACGATACCGTAGCGATGAGACATTGTGTGCGTCAGGATGTTAGGACCAGAGAACGGCTTAGTCGGTACGACCGCTGAGCATTGTCCACGGAAGGGCATGATGCGGCCAATGAACTCGGGGAGAAGCGTCGCGGTGAAGGCGTTGGTGCAGTAGACGACCTTATCCGTGGTAAGATCACCGCGGTCAGTCTTGATAACCCACTTCTCTCCAGAGCGCTCGACGGCCCGCGCCGGCGTGTTTGTTTGCAGGTTGAGGCCATGCTTGTCGATGCATAGCTTGAGCAGCGCCGTCACCAACTTATAGGGCCAAAGAGATGAAGCGGGGAACTCCGCGGCGGCCACGGCGCCTTCAGACCGTGTACGCTGTGTATCATAGTCAGCAAGACGATCGAAACGTGAGATGAATCCAACAAACCTTCTCCGCCTCTGCTGCGTCGCCAATCCACTCGACAATGCCGTCTACCTTGCCGCCGTCCGCGATGAACTCGTCGTAAGACGTCTTGAAGAAGTCTGCAGCGTCCTTGTCCATGGCAACGTCTACGCGGGTATAAGACTCATGAAGATGACGCAAAGGCATAAGGCGTACCAAAGGTCTTGCCGCGCCAGAAGTCACAGTCGATGCCCTCCTTCTCGATAATCTCGGTGACAAGGTTGAGCGTATCCTGGTTCCCCCAGTTAGCGATTGAGCAACGGCGTGATGCTAGCCCTCTTACCATCTCGTTTTGCAGGATCTTGATGGCTTGCTCCTTCCCGAAGTGCGCCTTGTAACCAGTATAACCTATGACATGCCCTTAGCAAGGACGGCGTGAAGGCACGATGAGGTTTGCCTACCGCGGTAGCAGTCGGGGCGGCAATGACCACCGTTACGCCCAGTGGCACCGTAACACGCCTCGCGAGCCTCGAGCATCGTGACGCTCTTAGGCGGGTTGGGGCCCGTGAGCAAGAAGTAGGCCAGGCTGGCGCCGCTGATCCCAGAGCCGATGATCGTCACATCGGCGTTGGATGGAAGAGACTCAGTAGTGCGATGACCGAGGAGTGGCGAGCTTCTGAATCCCTGGAGCCAGAAAGAGATGCAAGGGTCGGGGTGAGGATAGCCGGGTGCGTTGGGTTTCGCAGCGCCATTGGGGACGGTGGACATGATGACGAGAAGATAGTGGGCGGTACGAGAGTGGCGTACTACGTCCGGATTGCGGCGGGTGGATATGAGTGATTCCGGCTGAGCGCTAACTGGTGTGCTTCTCTGGGTGTAACTTAAATGAATGGAGGCATCCCCTCAACGATGCAGCACAGATCGCTCGGCCGACTGCTCTACGGAGATGATCGAACCGCCTTCGGCCTGTCGGCGACACTGTGAAGCAAGGGCATGACCTGGCAGGACAGGTACGATAAGACGATGCAGCGAGGTCCGCCTGATAGCAGTCGATCGGGGCGGTCGTCGGATGCGCCGACATCATGTCGCAGACGGAGACGATAAGACGCGGCTAACCGCCTTGAGTTCCACTGATAGGGTGTTCCTAGGATACGCGTACCCACGTCAAGGGCTCTAAGGGAGGCAACACTCCATTATTTCAACGACCCTCGACGACGGCTGGTATGGCTGTTTCCAATAATGTAGACCAGCAGGGGCGACCGTGGGCACTGGTGACAAGGACACCTGATGTGTCCTATATATGCTTCCACCAGAGTCGCATGACTCTACGAGGCGCCGGTGTGCAGACGACGAGGCGCGCTACGAAGGCGAGCGGGATAGCCGATGGTGGTCCGAGAAAGAACGTTCGACTCGAAGGCGCTGAGTTGTCGCTGTCACTCGCAGAGGCGCGCTGAGCGTCAATTGAATGGGGAGCCAATGATAGACAGCGATCAGCATACGGGCCGCGATCACCGGTGCCTGCGCGTGCTGCTGCGTGTCTCATCGAGCTCACCTCCAACTGCGACCACCATTTCCAAATCACTAATAACAACGCTCTATATATGTGCAAAGCCATGTCCGTAAGCGCTTATCAGTCTCGCTGCGCTAACATGTTCTTCCTTATCTGCGGCTCCTTATCATCTCTATGTAAAATTTAGCATTTCGTCTCATGTGTGGCACTGCAGCGAAGAGCGAGAAGTCCGAAGTCCTGATACCGCTTTCTGCGCTTCGGACTTCGCCTGAGTTTTGGCTTGGCTTTGTTAGTGCCTCTTCGATCACCGTTCCTGGTAAGGTGGAGTCGTGGTCATTATCTCGTGTCGTCTCGATACGAGCTTTTAAGAGGCTAGAGCAACGTCCCCGTGCTCTAGAGCTTTTACGCCCTCCCGTCCCGTCTCTCCTCTTCCGATCCTCGCACTATGTCGGACGTCGAGAGCAAGTTCTCCAACGCTGAGAAGGCGGAGGTCTTCGTGTCCACCCTTCCTGTTGGCGATGGGGCGCATGACACCAGCAAGGTATGTTTAATGAGTTTCTACGCATCCATCCCCCGTCTAATGGCGAGTTCTAGATGGCCACGCACCGTGGCCTCAAGTCCAAACATATTCAGCTCATTTCCATTGGCGGTGTCATTGGCACTGGCTTGTTCAGTACGCAGTTTGTTCTCGCACACGAGTGCTTTCCACTCACATGACGCACAGTCGGTTCCGGTCGCGCGCTCGTCATGGGTGGTCCTTTATCATGTCTTCTTGCATACAGCATCTTCTGCGTGATCGTCTGGTGTGGTGAGTTGAACCCCGTTTATTCCGATCACGGCTGTGTGACTGTTATGCCACCGATACGCGCTCACCGCGGCGGTACGCGTGCCTCTCGTACATGGCCACGTCTGCAGTGGAGGCTGAACCTGTCGAGTCCGCGCGTGCTGTCTGAGTTTGGCGATCCTGTCTGGTTCTAGCCAAGCGTATATCGGATATGTTCTGACTCCCTTTCAGTTGCACAGGCGGCTGGCGAGATGGCGGCGAAGTATCCTATCAACGGTAGCTTCATCCACTGGGCACATCGATTCATTGATCCGGCAGCCGGTGTTGCCTGTGGTTGGAACTACGCCTACGCCTGCATAGCATTCGCTTGTGCAGATATCACTGCCGTCATTGGTCTTTGGCAGTACTGGTAAGTCTCTAGGCTCTATCTTCTATTCTCTGTGAGCCTTTCTGACCAAGACGCATTGCAGGTTCCCTGACACTAACCCCGCTATCTGGGTATCTTTCTGCCTTGTCATCTTCTTCTGTCTCAACGCATTTGCGGTGAAGGTTAGTTCCGGTCTCCAAAGCAGCCTTTCAATCCTCGCATCTCGCCACTGACACACATCTTCTCAATAGATCTATGGAGAAGCCGAGTTCTACTTCGCGTCCGGCAAAGTCATCCTCATCATCGGCTTCATTATCTTCACGTTCATCGCGATGCTTGGCGGGAACCCTCACCACGACCGTATCGGCTTCCGGTACTGGAAAGAGCCGGGACCGATGGCCGAGTAGTACGTTTGTTTTGCGCTCTTCCAGTAGTCTCGAAACTGACCGTCCGTATTTAGTCTCGTCGAAGGCAACCTTGGCCGTTTTCTCGGCTTCTGGGGTGTGTTCAACGTCGCAGCTTTCTCCATCGGTGGTCCCGAGTTCGTCGCCATGTGTTCAGCCGAAGCTCAAAACCCTCGCGTCGTCATTCCCAAGGCTGTCCGCCGTGTCTTCTGGCGTCTAGCGGCATTCTACATCCTCGGAATTCTCTGCGTTGGCATTCTCATCGCCTACAACGACGCTGACCTCATCGACGGTATCGCAAACGGAACGGGCGTCGGCGCCTCGCCGTTCGTCATCGGCATGCAGCACCTCGGCATTAAAGTCTTGCCGGACATCATCAAGTGAGTATTGCTCGCGTGAGAGTTTTCTCGTGCTGCGCTTGTACTGACCGTGATTCCTAGCGCTGTCATCATCACCTCTGCGACGTCTTGCGGCAACTCCTTTGTCTTCGTTGCTGTCCGCTCTATCCATGCCCTCGCACGTCAAGGTCAAGCTCCCAAATTCCTCGGCTACACGACGAGACGTGGCGTCCCTCTCACGGCACTTCTATCCGTGCTCGGTATCTGCTGCCTGTCATACATGAGTACGTATACCGTCTCCAATGACATTCAGTACTGCTGCTGACCATCATGCATAGCTGTAAACAGCGGTGCTGCGGTTGTCTTCGGCTGGTTCCTGAACCTCGCGTCCGTCGCAGCGCTCATCAACTTCTTCTGGATGTGTCTCGCATGGATCTACTGGGACCGTGGCATGCGCGCTCAGGGAATGTCCCGCGCCGAGCTGCCCTTCCGTGGATACCTCATGCCCTACGCGCCATGGGTCGGCTTGATCTGGTGCATTCTGCTCACCGTCACCAACGGCTTCGCCGTCTTCATCAAGATTGACGGCGACTTTGACATCCAGGGCTTCTTGTAAGTCTCCTCCCAACTTTGCGCGCTGATTGAAATGTCCTGACTGCGATGCTTTAGCACGGCATACTTCGGCGTTGCCTTCTCGCTCGCCATCTACGGCTTCTGGAAGATCTTCAAGCGGTCAGCAGTCCGCAAGCCGCTGGAGATGGACCTCACGAGCGGTCTCGAGGAGATCGACGCTGACGAGCAGTGGTGGAAGGAGAACTACGTCCCACCGACTACGCTTTGGGGCAAGTTCGTGGACTGGCTTCTGTAGGAGCATGATTTGTTATGAGCTTTCTGTACGATTTGGATGTTGTCTTGTACATACTGTTTGGATACCACGCATGATCTGAAACTGCTCTATTTGCGTGATCCCCGAACGGAACGCCGTGCCACAATGTATGCGCATGTGGATCCAGGCCAATAGTGCCCCTAACTTCCGCCGCGGTGCCGAGGGCCAACTAATGGCTGCTTGATCACCGACGACCATCATCTTTGTCCACCTTACGCCGAACCCCATATTCCACCTTCGAACGAAGATATCTATTACCCGTTAAATCATCTGTTGGCGCATGTCGTCTTCGTCAGAGAACGAGGCAGACGCTCCTCAACGCAAACGCTCCGCCAAGCGGCCGCGACGCGTCGCGCGAGCCTGCGACTTCTGTCGGCGCCGCAAGATTCGCTGTGAGAGTCTACATACCATCTAAGTTGGATTGTCACCAACAACTCACAGGCGATGGAGGACAGGGACCGGGTGGCAAATGTGGGACATGTGTCTCCATGAACAAGGAGTGTTCTTATGTGGTGGACCTGGGCAAGGTGCGCGTTCCGTAAGTTCACGTTGAGCCGTTATTGACCTCGTCTCTCAGGATGGCGGTCCCAAGGGGTATGTGGAGGCGCTGGAGTACAAACTCTCCAAGATGGAATTGCTGCTTAAGCGGGTGAGTTTGCTACTCGACGCGTCAGGTTAGAGTATGATGCTAAATCTATATAGCTTCACCCTGAGGACGATTTCTCATCCGAAGTCGGGATCCATATAACTCGGGATAACTGGATGGTTGAGGGCGCGCTGGGGGACACCGAAGCCAACGAAGCCAGTCCCTTCGCTTCTGGCTCTGCGCCATCTTCGTCTGCTGCTAGACGCCCTCTGAGATCTAAATCGACGGCTCAGCCCGACGACCCGGCGTCTATCTTGGCCATGCATCCACCTTCAGACGACGACGAAGATCTCGTGGTAAAGCTAGGAGAGCTTGACAAAGGTATATCAGGCTATCCAGCTTTGGGCGCTAAACTGATGTGAGACTGTAGACTTCAAAAGTATGCACGTCGGAAGCTTCTTTGGCAAAGCAGGCGGACCATACCTCGTCAAGACCGCACTGCAGATCAAGCAGCAGACGCAAACAACGCACCATGTGAACTGGGCCCACGTACAACGTCCAACATACTGGTCTCTAAGTCCTGTACGTCGTCGTCACTAAACTGTGGCGCCTGTATATTGATGTCTCGCAGTGGGAGCGGGAGGCATACGAGGTCAAGATGCGCGCATACGACTTCCCCGAACCAGACCTGCTGCTCCACCTAGTCAAGCTCTACTTTCTCCACGTCCAACCATACCTCCCCATCCTCCATCGACCAACATTCGAAAGCGACATTCGGAAAGGCCTGCACTTTCATCAAGAGGCCTTTGGCGGAGTGTTATTGCTCGTCTGCGCTACCGCGGCGCGTTTCTCGGACGATCCGCGCGTGCTCATGGATCAGGAGACGGACGACAATACGTTCTTGTCGGCGGGGTGGAAGTGGTATTCGCAGGTCGGGCTGGACCGCAGGTCCCAGAGATCTGCGTCGCGGTTACACGATCTGCAGATATACTGTGTATGGGTTACTCTCCATCGCTTGTGCGTCGATACTTACCATACACAGCTTGCTTGCCAGTATCTCAACGGGTGTGCCCGCACCTCCGCGTCTTGGAGCTTAGTCGGTATCGGCATCCGGCTTGCGCAAGATATCGGAGCCCATAAGCAAAAAGTGTACAGCAAAACCCCGGGTATCGAAGACGAGCTCTTCAAGCGCACGTTCTGGTGGGTGCCATACTTGCCCGAACATGCGTACTGTGTTCTTACGCATCTAAAGGGCCCTCATCTGGCAGGATCGGCTGGTTGGCATCACGCTAGGTCGGCCATGTACACTTCTGGAAGAAGAGTGCGCCTGTCCCGTTACTCGCGAGCCGTATTCAAACTGACGAGATGCAGCATTGATGTGGAACTGCCGTTGGAGATCGACGACGAGTACCTGGCCGAGCGCAAACAGCCGCCAGGAAAACCGTCGCAGCTGTCATACTTCGTCAGCGCCATCAAGCTCGTCCAGATAGCAGGTCTCATCCTTCGGACAATCGTCAGTCTAACTATATCGAGTGCCACGTCCGCGTTACTGAACCTGGCGTAGTACGCTAGTAGTAAAGCCAAGACGATGTACGGCTTCAACGGCCATGACTGGGCCCAAAGAACAGTATCAAACTTCGACTCCGTCCTGAATGGCTGGGTCGATTCCCTTCCTGATCACTGTGCGTGGCCGTATCGCTCACAAGCCCCATCCCATCTACTGACGTGACACAAACAGTGCGCTGGGACCCAACTCGAGAGGACCTAATCTTCTTCGGCCAATCCTGCCATCTCCACGCCTACTACTACAACCTCCAGATCCTCGTCCACCGCCCCTTCCTCTCCGACCGCGCAGACTCCTCCCCCATCGCTTTCCCCTCCCTTGCAATCTGCCTCAATGCCGCGCGCTCCGTCGCCCGCATCGCGCACCGCATTCTCGAATGGGAGCCCTCGCCGCCAATGTACTTCGCGTTCGTCTTTTGCGCGCAGTCGTCAGCCGTGACGCTCTTGCTCGGAATATGGAGCGTCAGGCGCTCAGGCCTCGCGATTGATCCGGCGAAGGAGATGGATAATATCCATGATATATTGAAGTACTTCATGGTGCTTGAAACCCGATGGTACACCGCAGGTCGTCTCAGGTATGCTCTCCTTTCCTCCTCTACCCGTGATGGAACATTCGATACTCACATGGACCGCAGAGATGTCCTACGAACGCTCATGTCCCTGACCGGTCTCCAAATGCCCCCCGAAGAGCATCCCGTTGTCGTCCGCCGGAAACGCGCCCACGAGACGATCTACGACTCAATAGGCGAAACGCCCGCCAGCGCAATGGTCGAGCGCGTGCTCGACCAAGCTCAAATAGTCATGCAACGCGAAGACGCGACGCTGCGCGAGGATCGGCCCATAGCCGGCTCAAGCCGCGTCCAAGCGGCGCTCAGCCCGACCTTGTCACACGCGTCGCACGGAACGTCCAGGAGCAATAGTAACAGTGGATACGCTAGCGACTTGCTCAACGGCGCCTCGATGAACCTCCCATTGCTCTCCGGCGAGCTTGGACGTATGGCACCCGACGATCCGCTGCGCGGCTTGAACTCGACCAACGAAGACAGCAATATGAGCGGGTTAGCTAACGCTAGTGCCTTTACTTTTGGACAGGGCGGCGGCGTTTCATTCGAGGATGCGTTCGGACCGCTGGGTTTGGGTGGCTTTGCGATGGCACCGTCCGGCCTCAACGACACGACTATGTCCGTGATGGGCTTTCAACAAGGGCTTGGAGGCGGTGGCCTCGGCGATGGTGGAGGCCTTGGAGGCGGTGGGGGTCTTGGAGGTGGGATGGCTAATGGGCCCGACACTTGGGCTTCCGTACCTACCAGCTACGGGCAAGTCGGCTTGCTATCGTCTGCGTTTGACGCGGAGCTGACTCCCTTCTCCAGGGAAGGGGATTGGGACACTTTCCTAAGGGAGCTTGGTGGGCATGGCGAGCACCCGTCTTCGCAGGGAACGACGCCATCCTCGCTCGCCGTCGACTCCACACATTGACCATGTAGACATGCATCTCCCATCGACTGGTTGTACGAACATCGCCTGTTTCTCTTCATGTATCGTATCGAACAGCCTATCCTTTGTATTTTTACTGTTGATGCCATCTGTCCAAACGAATTCGCCGTTTTGGGCGGGCGCCCATCAATAACGCTCGGGGCGCCCGTCGCAGGCGCTCCGTATGCGCCGGTGCCGGCGTCTTTGCCGCCGTTCCTTCGATCTCGAGCTCAATCAAGCGCGTAGCGCTCGGTGACGGTGATGATCGGCGATATCTGCACACGAAGTTCCGACTGGGCAACAGGATGGGACGCACGAACTATATAACTGCCAATTACGCGAGACAAAGAATGTATTGTTCGGACGTCCATACGCAGTCAAGTAGTGGAGATGAGGCAGGAGAGGGAAGACAAGACTCGAGAGGAAAATGGGAGAACGAGATAGCAAATCCTGTATCTGAACAGCATGTGGGGGACCGACAGTCAGACTGGGTTGAAGGGGGACTAGGTGGGGTGGGCGCGGATTAGGACGCGGTGTCATGGGAGGGTCGTCGTTACGGGCCGTAAGCCAAAGGGCAAGGGTATATCGACACAGGGTAGCCAAGAGGACCGAGAAGTGGGAAGACGAGAAGAAGCGCTTATTGCTGGCGCTTCTTGACGTTCTGCGAGAGCCACTGAAGGCCCTCGAACAAACCCTCCCCCGTCGTCGCACAACTAGATTCACGCTCAGCACAGATATTGACAAAGGATATACGAGATAAACGAACCTTGGGTGCACATACCACGAGCGGTCGCGCATCCTGTGTAGACCCAGCTTCTCCGTGACTTCTGCGGGTGACATGGCTGACGACGGATATTAAATTCGGACCGGCAGTCCAACGCGGGTGGCAACACGCACCTCCAGGCAAGTCCTGCTTGTTGGCAAACACGAGCAGCAAACACTCCTTCATCTCACGGTCGGACAGAATGCGGTGGAGCTCCTGCTTCGCCTCGTCTATCCGCTCGCGGTCCTGGGAATCGACGACGAAGACGAGACCCTGGGTGCCGGTGTAGTAGTGCCTCCACAGCGGCCTGATCTTGTCCTGCCCGCCGACATCCCACACATTGAATTTCACGTTCTTGTAGGTCACCGTCTCGACGTTGAACCCGACTGCGGCGTGGTCAGAATCATAACATCTGGACAAGACAAGTATCCGCGCACCTGTGGGGATAGTCGTAACGGACTGGTTCAATTTGAGCTTGTATAGAATGGCTATAACAGTATTCAGTATCATATCCACATCATGGTGAGAGATCACGCACTCGTCTTGCCGGCCGCATCGAGACCGAGCATGAGCAGACGCATCTCCTTGTTGCCGAACAAACGGCCTGCACATGTTTCTTTCAGAATACAACATATCCGCCGGCACTATCAAAACGCACCGAGAGCCTTTGAAAGATTAGCACCCATGATGGAGAGGGGTTAAAGAGCGACGAGAATGGAGGAGGGGAGTTGGCGGAAGGGAGCAAGCCCGGGTTCTCGTTCGACGCGTCCCCTCCAGCGTGCAACCGCGAACCTCGTTCGGCTAACTCCGTTCGCCTGTCTGCCACGTGTGGGGCCCACTTCGCCTAACTTCCTAATTTCGACCTTGATCCTTTTTCAGCACTTCCCCGGATCCTCGACCCGTCCCGATTACATCATGCTGAATCGCCATTGTTGCCGTTCATGACGCTCTGCCTTCAGAGCGTGCTGGTAGAGCGAATGTAACTATGAACGACCCAAAGCTTTCAGGTCGCGCAGCCTGCACGCCTTGACAACATCGTCGCGCTAACAGAGCTTCGAGTCCCTGAGCTTCCTGAACGTTTCACCCGGGCCGAAGAGTGCCGGTAGACCAACTGACTCGCAGGTGAACATTGATACAGGAAAAAAGTTTGTATGTTCTAAGCGCCTGTCAGAACGCGTGCGGCTAGCCATGACAGTGGTTGAACATGGTCGACTCCTTGTTCCACATCCCACATCATCGATATACAACAGTCCGTGTTTACTGATCTGCATATCCACTTTGCTGATGGGCCAAGTACTAGACCAATGTCAGAAACCGCGCCCACGATCAAGCCTACGTCTGGCACAAGGGGGGAAGTCGCAGTAGAGTCGACGTGCGTAGTCCCTATCATACTCGCGGTGTGCTTTCTTTAATCACGCACCAACGTAGATTCAGAGAGAACGCCCCGGAGATGCCTCGAGACCTACACCGAAAGTACAGTATATATGGATGGAGGCTCACCGTCAGTGTGGACGACTTCCCCTCGCGGTGGCATCTCATTCCCCGGGTTGTCGATCTGTCCGACGTCCGCCGCTTTTACGAGGAGAAGGCGCAGGAAGCAGGTATACGGCGAGGTATCAACATTCTCATGCTTGATTACGACAAGGCGACGAAGTCGCTCACCTTCGCGATCTGGCTCACCCGGAACTTCCTCACCTATCACCACAAGCTCTTGAGCCCGAGACAGCTCACCAAGATACCCACTCAGGATGGCATCTCCCGGTTTGGCCAGCTTGCGGAGCTGGACAGTCCCAGCTGGTGTGCTTTGTAGCCTGCGCAGAATGTATAGAAACACAGTCTTCGTCCACGAGACGCACGTAGTCTCATCTCAATACACAGATTTGAGTCTCAGGCTTCCACTGACCAGCAGCATAAGTGAGCATGGCCACCGTGAGGGTATGTTCTCCGCCTACCCGAACTCATAGTCAGTGATTGAGCAGCGCGCAAAGCATCATGAAATAGCTACTACGCGCGCGTCCGCGTAGATCGAGGGTATACAATGAAATGAAGTCCCTAAATATGTACACGCTCAAGCCTACGCCCGCGCATCCTCCTTCAATATATCCGCAGTCTTCTCCGCAATAGCCACAACCGGCACAGCAGGATGCCCGCTCACATTCCTCGGCAACACGCTCGCATCGCATACGCGAAGACCCTTCACGCCAAACACGCGCAAGCGCGCATCAACGACACCCGTATCAGCGCTCGGCGCGATACGCGCTGTCGATGTCGGATGGAAAATCGGCAGCGAGTGAGCTTGCATGTACGAGCGCAGCTCCTCTTCGGTGATCTGGTCGGGGTCTGCATCTCCTGGCCAGTAGAAGTCGTCGTAGTCCTTTGAGTGCGCCTTCGGGATGGCGATGCCCTCGAGCGCCTTTGTGCGTGCCAGACGCAGACAAAGACGAAGTCCGCGCGCTGCTACATGCCAGTCGTTCTCGGTCGAGAACGTGCTGCGTGTGTAATCAGGTCGTGTATCATAAGCCCACAGCAGATTGAAGCTCACTTGTGGTCGATATTGGGCTCATCGTATACGCTCGAAGTCTTCAAAGTGATGGAACCACTGCCTTCTTGCTTGAGCACGATCGCACCAACAGTGAACCCGTTCCCTTTGGGAGGGTCGCCCGATAGATCGCCGGTGATCAAAGGGAACCAAAGCAGTTCGATGTCGGGACTGTTGGGACCGGCACTCGTATCTTTGATCTGGTAGCCTCCCGGTGTAGGATCGAACTTGATGCTGCGAAGGACATCATCAGCCTCTCGATTATGAAGCGCGGAAGTAGCGAGAATGAGCATACTTCGTATCGTCGGTGCGTACGAAAGCGGCGCCGGGTGCGACCATAGATGTCATAGGCCCTGAGCTGGAAACGAGCCATTTTCCGAGCGCAACGAGTCCGGAGACCGGGTTGTTGAGGTAGTCCAACGACCACTGCGGCTTAGTGCGGACGAAGACCGGACCACCAGCCATATGCTATCAACAACGCTCAGCGACTCCCTCATCGAGCTGCCATGATAAGGTGATGCTCACGTCAACAAAGTTCTTCCCAACCTGCGAAAGATCCTTCACCACCGAAACACCGACCTTCTCCAACTCCTCTTTCGGACCAACACCCGACGCAAGAAGAATGTGCGGCGTCGAAATGGCGCCCGCACAGACGATGACCTCGCGCTTCGCTTTGACGCGGTACTTCGGTGCGTCGGGTCCTTGGCTGATCTGTACGCCAATTGCTCTGGGCTCATCGGGGTTGGAGGTGTCGAAGACAATCTTCTCTGTTGTCGTTTTGAGGACGACAGTTAAGTTGGGGCGCTTGAGAACGTCCGGTGATAAGTACGCTTCTGCTGTAGAGTGGCCTAGAAAGACATTCAGTTTTGTGCACGCCTGGATTGGACGGGACTGTCGCTCACGGCTTTGATTGGTGGGGTTGATGAAAGTGGTAAATGTACCGGTGCCCATGTTACCGTTCGCTCCATTGAAGTCGCTGGAATCAAGTGTCAACGCTGGGTTGAGACAACCAGGAGAGGGAGGCCTCATACGGATTACTCTTGATCCCGAGCTCGTTGCAAGCTTCCATAAGCTTGACGTGGAGTGGCTACACGACAACCGTGAGTAACGCTTCCATACAACGCTCATGCAGACTGACTGTGACATGCTTCGCCATTGACGTCTTCCATAGGCCACCGTTGCCATGGTCTTCGGGTTTCATGTCGGGGTACTTCTCAGAAGGCGTGAATGATTCGACTTTGCGAAGATAACTAGCGGTCTTTTCAGCCTTGCGCGTCGTGATGAAGTGGACTAGAAGTACGCACGGAAGCATGTCCTTGTAGCCGAAGCCTGCAGCACCCATGCGCTCCCACTCATCCCAGTCTAGACCTCCAAATCAATATTGAAAGTGCAGTAATAGAGCATCCGAGCGTACCTTCAGACGTCCCGGGCTGGTATATCAACGCATTGATCTGCCTTCGCGTAACGTTAGCCGGGCTACGGGATCAGTCGAGGCTCAGTACTGACCCAGTACCACCAAGAACACGACCGCGGGGCACCGGATACCTGCGGTTGTTATTCCGCGGCTGTTCGCTGAATGCCTCGTCAGTACATGCTCGTTCGAGCATCATGAACAGAGGTCCTACACCGATTTGAAGTTCCAATCCACAGGCGTGCGGGGAAGTTTAGGCCAGCCGAACGGAATAGTGCTGAGCAGCTCCTTCTTATAACTACACGTCGATGCGCATCAGTAAGCAACGTCCGAGTCCCGAGTCCCCTCAGCAAGCCGAGGCGTCCGAAGATAGGCGCGGGTCGCGGGTCGCGGTGGGGATCAAACGCGTCGCGCCGTGGTTGGCATTGATGGAAAGCACTCACTCTCCACCCGCTTCGATGAGCAACACACTCGCATTCTCGTCCTCAGACAGACGCGACGCAAGGACACAACCAGCAGTACCTGCACTACCCAGTCAGCCACTAGCCCGCCGCGCAGAACCAAGCCGCGCACCTCCGCCCACGATCACGTAGTCATACTCCTTCCACGACTCGGGCTTGTCGTCGGCGGTGAACGCCTTCAAGTCAGACACGTATGGCTGCTTCGACTGTCCAGCGCCCATGACGGTTCAAGAAAGTGTGTGAAGCCGGACGAGAGGTGGCAATAGATTATATGGCCCCGAAAGTTCCTAGGCTTTGATGTCGGACGCGGCCAGTTCGTGCCCAGATGTTGATGGGCATCTTGAAACCGGAACATCTTTATTCAACACCACCATGCGAGCAGCGAGCGCGTCTAAGATAGCAGAGCTTTCGAAGCCGTTGGATGCTTTGTACAACGGTTGCTGCTGACGAAGAACAATGAGGTTCGGAGGCAAGCGCGGAGGAGAGCCTCTCAAGCTGCCGCCGTGTGGCACCGGAGCTATTCGGACGATGCCGCCACCTCAATTACTTCCGCCGCGGCGTGCCGCCGACAGCGTACTACATCTGTAGGGCATGTGACTGTTCGCAAGATATGATGGTGAATGAGACTACGAGACTACATGGACAGGATCACTGGTGCAAGCTAAAACGGCTGCTCGGCAAGAATCTCCGTCTTCACCACAAGCTCCGTCGCGCTCTTCAGTTCTGCAAGAAAGTACCCCTTAGCTCCTCCAGGCCCCTTTGTACTGACTATTTTGAACAGCTTGTCATAAGAATCTGGCGCGTCTTCCCTGCGGATCTGTGCCACGAAATCACGCTTCTTTGTATAGACCATGTAGTTTCCACCAGACACGGCGAAGTTGAATGGCGGACCCGCATAAGGAATCTGCGAGATGGTGAGCACAATGCGATACAATGAAGATCCCAAGCTGAGCACTGACCTGTATCTTGACAAGCAGACTCTTTGGGAACTTCTTGGGCTGATGTGCCGTACGAGAATGCGATTCCGGAATCTCTTCATGCTGGTTGTGCACCACTGAACGGTACGTCGCTGCGGCAGGCCGAAGCCCGAAATACGGAGACTCCATATAGAACGGCTTCAGAGTGACCGCATCTTCATCGCTCGAAAGAGTCTTGCAGATCTTCTTGTGAACCTTCCAGTGCGCCTCTGACAATAGGTTAGACGAAGGGTCGACACTACTGAATAAGGCGAGCCTACTTTGACAATCTGAAGAGCAATAGAACACAGCATGGCAAGAAGCGCATTTCTTCAGTCGCGTCTGTTCATTCCCAGGTTTTCTGCATCTCGCACAAGCCTTCTCTTCCAGCGGCGCCTGCCCAGCTCCTGCACGCCTCCGTAGCCACTTGCCGATGACAGCAGTAACCTCAGGACCGTAGTTGACATATATATCCATGTCCTTTTCGCCATTAGCGTCCACAAGATCCAATCGAGCCCCAAGCTCCATAAGTACATCGACTGACTTGGCCTGCCCAGTCAAGATAGCGTCGTGAATCGCAGTAGAGCCGTAGAGAGACTGATGATTGACATTCGCGCCGCCGTTGACCAGAGCCCGGATCAGAGATGGCATCTTCTCGTTCACCCTCATGGCAGCATGGATAAGCGCAGTGACTCCGACAATATCAGGAATGTCAAGCGGTAATCCTCGAGCTAGAAGTAGTTCGAGTACGCGAAGGTGTCGGGTCTTCTGCTTCTCAGTTTCAGTGTGATTGAACGGCGTCAGGTTGCTAGCTCCAAAGACGATCAACGTAGCAAGCCCTATCTCATACCCAGAGACTGTCGTGTCCAATCGTAGTGCGTTTCCACTTCGGAGCGCCTAATGAATGATTAATGGAGAACGGAAGCTTCGACAGGGGTACTTACGGACTGGACATACTCATCGTCGCCGAAATAGCATGCTGCAGTAAAATCATCGAAGTGTGCCTTTGCAGCGTAGAACTTGGCCGAGTCTGAGCAATGTCAGTCTCCTAAGATAAAGGTATACTCTTGTGAAAGCGTGCTCACTCTGTTGATAGAGCACTCTTAGCTCCCGAGCACCCGCCTTGTCGGAGAGGAAGCCCGAACCCGCCGATTTGATCAAAGCCCGCATACGAGGAGTAACCATAGAGTCCGTGAACGTTGAAGCAGCCATATCTGTGAAGTAAAAGCCGCGCGTCGACCGATATGCCTGCACACGGATGGAAGTCAAGGAAGAAGAAGAAAACGACGCGGAGGCGCAAAGACGGTGAGACAGCTTCCATTTCGGCAAATGCCGGGTGCCACAACGCGCGTCACCAGGCGTCACCACGATGCGCTGGCTCGGACCCGAACCACCATCAGTATGAAGGCCATCACTTTGACGAAGATATACGATTGAGTAGTACATGGGAGCTGTCCAATTAGAAAGGCTGATCAGCAAGGACCTCAGACACCTTCACAACAAGCTCGTTTTCGCTTTTCAGCTGTGCTACAAAGTACGCCTTCGCACCCTGAAACCCCTTCGTCCGTATCAACTGCGCAACACGGTCGTATGCCGCAGGCGCGTCTTCTCTGCGAATGCGGCATTCGAAGTTCCGACTCTTCGAGTAGACCAGCATTGGAGGTGTTGCCCGTATATCCGCGCTAACCGGAAGCTACAGCCAACCAGACGTCAGCGTTGTTATACGTTATGAAGGGAGTGGGACTCTTCACCTGTACTTTGATGACATAGTCTTTCGGAAAGGTCTTCGGAGGGTGCGCATAGCGTGCGCGAGGCGCTGAAGGACGCAACTCCGGCATGTAGGTTCCCAACTGACTAAGAACAGGGTTGAAGCTTGCGAGCGGTACGTGCGACATATCCCCCGAGTCGTAGTTGGGCCGCACGATGACCGTGTTGTCCATTGAGAAAGGCTTGCAGTGGGGCTTGTGCTCCTTAGCATGTCCACCTATACGATCCGTTCAGCGAGTTCCACCCACATCGGGCGATATGCTCACGTTGGCAGTTCCTCGAGCAGTAGTAGACAGTATGACAAGCAGAGCACCGCCTTGTGATCACACCATCATCGCCGGTCTTCTTACACGCAGCACAAGCTCTCCCATCCTCAAGCGGCGCCGACTCTCCAGATCGTCTACGAAGCCATTTGTTGATCGCGGCGGATACAGCAGGGCCAGTGGAGAGATCTTTCGGGCACATGCCATCGGCGTCTTGAAGTGTCGGATCCGCACCAGCTTCCATGAGCGCATCTACGGCTTCAACCATCATGACTTTTGAAGCCATGAAAAGAGGGACGTAGCCCCAGACGTCCTGATGGTTTGCGTTTGCGCCGCCGATGAGCAAGGTGCGTACGAGCGCAGGGGCTTTTGGGCAAGGGACCATGCACGCGTGCGAGAGAGCGGTGTAGCGGCAGATATCAGGTACATCAGGTGGACAGCCATTTGCGAGTAGTAGTTCGAGTGTTTCGATGTGAGGTAGTTCCACTGGGTTTGAGGGAGTGTTCTGGAGGCGTTGGGCGCCAGCGACCACCAGAGTCGCGAACCCGTACTCGAAGTCAGTGACTGTACTGTTCAGATCAGGTGCAGTATTGTTTTCGAGAGCCTTTACAAGAGAACAGTCAGAGATAACTATTCGGCGGGGAGGATCGACGAAGACATTGGGACACCTACAGTTCGCACAGAGTTTACGTCGCCGATGAAGCATTCTCTCGCAAATCCTTCCAGTCTGTGAGGATCGAAGGCGTGCATTGACTCTAAGATGCATGCGTTGGATAGTTTACGAAGTGCAATACCATTTGAGGGTGCTTACGCGCTCGGTATAAATTCCTGAGTTCACTTCCACCCTCCTGATCCTTCAAGAAGCCCGGGGTGCTTAAGAGTTCGCGCATACGCGGGGTGACATTGGAAGACATGATGGCAGATATCGTAAGCACAGCTCAGCTGCAAGCTCTTGAACGCGCTGTTGTCTGCCCGATGGCACTCTCCGCCGTTTCCCAACGGACTCCAATGAGAGTTGTGGCAAAGCGCAATTGACCGGATACACGCAGCACTACCAGGAACCGGTAGTCAGGAGATGGGATGGGCAGCAGTATCTCACGATGATGTTCGGTATCGTGCGGGAAGAGCAGCTTCTTCCCTCGTTTGAGTGCCAGATAGGTGGACCCCTTGTGAGCCTCGTGGCCCGGCCCGCGAAGCCGGATCGGGCGCCTCATCGGCACCCCTATCCGATGAGCCTATTTCCCCTACGCTCATCTCCTCGACTGTCTGCATTCGCTCGCAGACCAATTCCCGACTCGCAGAGTTGCACAGGGCATCCGGCCCTACTTGTACTTGCCGGCTATATCGTCTTTCGTGACTCGATCGTCCCGGTGCCGCCGTTCCGGTCGCAGCATTTATTCGAGCTTAATTCGCTACACCAGCCCACACAAGTTATATCTTTCCCAACATGGCTTCCTCTGAGTCCCCAGATATCTTTATGGCGAGCTCTGAGACTCCTGCGCAGCTGTCGACTAAGCCGTCTCAGGCTGATGCACCGGTCCCTCTGTCCTTCCCCGCATTTCTGCGCAACGCGGGCCTCCAATCCCGCTTCGCCCAGTTGAGCGAAGGCGGGATCACATACCGCACCAAGTCTGCGCCATCCGTGACGAAGCGCATTTCGCGTCGCGATGAGAATGATGGAAAGCGCTGGGTCCGCCGCAAGGAGAACTGTAAGTATCTCATCGTGCGATAGTTGGGATATATGGCTGATGCATTGTGCACGACAGCTCGCTTCGAGGGCAATCCCCACGTCGTTGCGCCTACCAAACGCGACCTGACACTCGCTCATCCGACTAAGTCAGAAACTTTCCCGATTCCACTACCGCCTTTCCTTCCCCGAAGCGTCTCGCTGCCAGCGACCACTGCGCCTTCGCCCAACTACCAGAACTCTCACTCTGGCAACTTCTCTATGTCTCTGCGCGGTGCGCGCAAGAACATCCGTAGGGCGGGGCCTCGCACACAAGCGCTCGTCCGAGCAGTGGAGGAGACCCTGACGAACTGGGTTGCGGAAGGCGCTGCCGTCGTGAAACCCGACGCTCCTGCGCCAGAGATGTCCTTCCCGGGCATTCTGATTGGTGACGTAGAGGGCGTGTACGAAGTTCAACGCACGCATGACCGTCTCGTCTGGTGTATCCAGGACGATGCATGGTCACGCTATGTGGTGCACTGTTGCGCGCGCTATCATGAAGTCGTAAGCTTCAGTAGGTATTCTCGCTATCTCGCCTGCACACGGGCTAACTTGCCATAGGCAAAGACACCCCAGAACACCGTCTCACTTACCTTCTACGCCCAAACAACACCCGTGTGCAACCCGCCCGTACTGCCGCCAAGAACCTGGACACACCGCCCGCAACAGACCCAGAGCTCTCGTCGACATACGACTCCGACGTCATCGACCTATCCGACATCGCCTCTGTTGAGCTCTCCGACATCGCGTCCGCCGACGGCCTCTCAGACATCGACGCCCCGCCCGAATCTGCAGCTTCCCCTGCTCCCCTGAGCGCGATCTCTTCCGACAACGAAGCGGACGTCGAATCCGACCTGGGCTCGATAGCCTCGCTATACCATGCTGCACGTCGCGCGGAGGCATGGGATACCTGGTCGCAGTCCGACGGAGATGAGCTTCCCGAGGCTATGCGTGGGCTGGCGATCGAGGATGATACGCCCCGTGCTCGGCGTGTTGCTCCTCTTCGGGCTAGTACTTGGGATCGTGCGCGCTCGGGAAGTTCACCGTCGCGTTCTCCGGCTCGTCGTGAGCGCCGTCCTGCTCGTCGTGGGAAGCGTCGCGGTGCAGCGAACGCTGAGGCCGATCAAGCTGGGAAGAGCTTCTACGACTACATCTTCAACTGAGACCGCCTGAGCAGGAGACTATACGACTGTACTCGTTTCAGTCAAGATACGCGTTGTATACACTAATGTAACCGCTTGTACACTGATATACAGCCATCTGTTGTTTTGTACCACATCTGGGAGTCTGCGCCATGTACTTGACTAAACTGTAATCCCACTGGCTGCCTTTGCGATATATTATACAGAGATGACCTTACAGGTGGTACCCATCACCCACGAGCCTTCAGCGCGGCAGCATACTCCGTCACGACGTCGTATACGGCGGTACCAGGGTACACCTAGAATGAGCACACCATAATCAGAACCTCCTGCCCATCAAGAGCACATAGGGATATCCCGCACCTCGTAGCCATCATCCAAATTCGTCGTGAACGACGACCCAGCTTGCCAGATAAGATCGCCCGTCAGCCCATCCGCGAGCACATCCTTATACCACTGCGTGTACGCCGTGACCTGGTCTACATCCGATTGAATGACGCCGAACTCTTCGAGTATCATCGGCTTGTTGAGTTGCTTTTGGACGGAGGCGTGGTCGAGGATGTATTGGCTGCCAAATCCGATGGGGTCCGTAGTTTGCTGATCGAATGGTGAGTGAGCATACTGAAGATCTCATGGGATGTGACTACGTACCCCGTAGCCTATCTGCGTGGACCATCAGCTCACAGCATCTCTTAATGGCAGACCTTACTCACCGGATACATATGGAACGTCCCAAAGTCGATCCTAGACCCACATATCAGCGATCAGCACCATAACTCTCACGCTGCGAATAGGAAAGCTCATACGTCGAGATGTTGGTCAGCGCCAAACTGTCGATACCAAAGATGCCCTGGTAGAGGAAGTTGGAGTTGCCGGGTTCGTTGAAGAAGCCCTCGTCGCCGACAGAGACCATGTGGTTGGGGTCGATAGACTTGATGAAGGCGGACATGTCGGCGGCCCAGTTGGTGATCGTGTCAGTCGTGCAGGCGCCTGACGCGACACTATCCATAAACTGCATCAGCTCAAAGGATGGGTGTAGATGCCGACTGAGCACGTACGAGGTTGAGCCGGCACAGCGAGGCTCATTCATAAGCTATGCGACGTTCAGCGCACGAGTAACTTGGACGTCACCTGCATCGCTCACCTCCCAAGCCAGAATAGTCGGCTCGTCAGCATAGCGACTGACAAAGGTCTTGACGTAGTTCTTGTACGCAGCGATGACTGTCGCGTTGGTGTAGAAGTAGTCGTGCGGCAAGTTGGGGCCGAGCAACTGCGTGACATAGACATCTGAGCCACCGAAGTCAGACCAGTTGTTTGTGCTGAACGTGGAGTCAGCTGCGAAAGGATGCTCGCTTGGCCTGAAGAGGGAAGAACGCACAGAGCAACGATAAGACGCAATCCGTTCTTCTTGGCCATCGCTACGACGTTATCGAAGTTAGGCAGGCCGTTTGAGCCCATGTTGACCGTCGGAACTGAGCCGTTCCAGATCTGATAGTACGGGACGTAGATGCCTGGATCGGACGTGACCTCGTTGAAGCCCCTTAAGCACAATACGTCAGAGGCAGATATAGACGAGAAGGTCAAGTGCACTCACATAGTACGGGCTGTAGTGGCGCCTGTAGCAGCGATGTCCTTGAAACCCTGGTCCATGAGCGTCGTGTTGTAACCCATCAAGCCGACCCAGTACGTGTTCTCGCTGACTACCCGTCAGCACAGAGCTCCATCAGTTCAATAGGCAACGTCGCGAACCCAACAAGAGTGAACTCCTCCCCGTCAAGTTCGAACTTCTGTCCATTCGCTCTGACAAAGCCAGTCGAGGCCGGCACCGTCGCGGACGTCGTGGAAGTTGCCACGGGCGTGGAAGCCGGATCAGATGTCGCCGGTGCAGTTGTAGTCGCAGCTACGGAGGTCGTTGCTGCTCCGGGAATGCACCTGAGATCACCGTTAGCTAGGTATCAGACGAGAGCCGGGTAGAGCAGAGCTTACTGGCTGAACCAGTCGTTCTCGTAGGCACTGCGGAACCATAGCCTTAATCGCAATATATCGAGCAACATCAAAGAAGCACGTACCATGCTGAGCCTATCGCGCATGTTGTAAACCCAGACCATCCAATGCCTCCACCTACATCATATATCAGCCTCCGCCGTATGAAGAGGATGAAGATATATGACGCACATTGGCCCCAGACGGGTGATTGAGCGAGAGCAGAGTGCAACATGAGCGCCGCCACCACCAGCGACGTGTCTAACCTGAACATCTTGACCGGCGGGAAATCCTGTTCACCGACAAGGTCAGCGAACGCGCAAGCTGAGTTTATACCGAGCAGCGGAGCTGAATGCCGGGACTGCGTCCTGTCTGGATAACCTTCGGGGGAATGTCGCATATCTGACCGGCAGCTCGAGGACAAGTTGCATCTCGCATGTGACAGCACGCTGGGCGTTGGTATAGTGTTCACGAGGCACACTGAACGGCAACTTGCATGGAAGATGAGGGAGGCCTCCCGATGGAACAATATCCATACAACTGCGAGCCTCCCAAACTGCGCCATTGCCGATAGAAACCCGGCAAAGAGTAAACCAGCCGAGGTCTTCATTATGCTCGGCGAAGCTCGGATGGCCACATGCCTCGCCGGATAGCTCTAGATGCCAGACAGGCGGTGTTATACATATCCAGTGTATGTCAGGTCGCGGATACAGTATAGATGTACAGAGAATGCCAAGAGCAGGAGGTGAAACGAGAAGGGAACAAGAAAACGGACAGCAACACAAACCAGACGTTACACCAGCTTCCCCTCGCGCTTGGCCTGTTGCACCTGCGCCAGACGATGCGTGCGAAGGGTTGTCTGCTGGGTCTGCGCGCCACCCTTCTTGTTCGTGCCACCGCCCGGATTCGCCAGTCCGGTTTGAGATAGCTGGATGCGAGTCTCGTCGGAGGAGAAGCCAGGTATACGGATGTTGTGGTTGCGTTCAAGGTGCAGTTGTAGGTCCTTGATGTCGAGCGTATCCCCGCCGCGGTGCTTGGCCAGTCTGCAGGCGAAATTGGCGACGGAGTCGATGAACTCGTCTGCAATCTCAAGAAGCAGCTGTGAGAAGCGTCAACGGTACAGTTCCTGTTCGGCTGAAACGGCCACGCACGTCTTCAACCTCCGCATCAATCTTGACATTCGGGTCGATACTCGAGACGAGATCTTGAATAGAGCGGCGCATGCTCTGATCTCCAGGTGTCGATTTCCTTCGTCCCGTCGACTCCTCAGCGACGTACATGTCGTCCGTTCCCGGTCTTGTCAACGCGGGTGTACCTGTGGCCGCGCGTAAGCAGTCCGCCACAGCTGCAGAGTGTGACATTTCACGTACCGGTAACGCGGCCCGAAGCTGAGCCACCAGTCAGAGTTGGCCTCCCATCGGTGGTCCGATTCCACGGTACGACGCCAGGGTTCGTGGAGCTGAGCTGGGAACTGATAGGAAAGGTGTGCGCTGATGTCGAGGGGCTGGAGGAAAGAAGAGGTGCGGGCGTCGACGTGTATTTCAAAGCAGCGTTCTGGGCGTTTGGTGTTGCCGCCGCGGTCTAAGGCTAGAGTGAGTATATAATCTCGTATATAGAACTGTGCTGTAAACGCACCTTTGCGGCGGGAGACTTCACTGCATGTTTATCCGCGAACTCTTTCAACTACGGGTCAAAGTCAGTACAGACAGTTATATGCACACGAAGTATGGTTCAAGAACGCACCTGGACAATCTGAGCATTCGAAATCTTGCCCGCATTCGCAAGCTTGGCGAGTTCATGCATATTGTCCAGAAGCATCTGCGCGATGCGCTCGTTTGGTAGTGAAGCACCATTCGCATCCTTGAATGTCGTCCCGAGAGCGTCAATAATGGCTGTGGAGCCCATGGGTGCTGGCGAGGCGGATGCCATGGTGGTGGTTGTCTGTGGCAAGCTTCGCCCTCGACGCGCCGCAAGTATATTCAGCAGCACGTGGGCGCGTCTTTGTGGGCAACCAACGTTCTCCCTCTTCCAACACCATGCTTTGACTCTCAACGCCTGACTGGCGTATGATTTCACGACTACGCTTCTGTGCGGGTCTATATGGCAAGCGAGCAGGCTTTTCCCGATGTCTCTAAACATCATGACTTGATTCGAAGAGACTCTATTCGGTGGCTACGGTCATGTACACGGACCCCTCCTCCAACCGAGAGCGGGATCTGGCAATACGCGGAGAGCCCGATTACGCATCGGGAGCTGGTGTAGCTGTGCTAGTCTGGGTCGAGTGTTGGAACCTTCTTCGATCTCTAGTCCTGTCGTGAACGAACCTTGGATGAAGCATCCGCGGATGACTTCGCTGCATGCTTATGCGCAAACTCCTGAAGCTGGGGGGCGATCTAAGTACATGATCTGTCAACCACTGGATTGATGGTACGCGCCTGCTCAATTTGAGCACTCGAAATCTTGCCCTGCTGCACGAGTTTGACGAGCTCGTGCATGTTTTCCAGCAGCAGCTGCGCTATGCGTTCGTTCGGTAATGGATTGCCGTCCGCATCTTTGAAAGTCGTGCGGAGGGCATCCACAATCACATTGGGGCGCGTGGATGTAGATGAAGCGGACGCCATGATGGTAGTCTGCGGTAGATTCCCGCCACAGCAGCACGCGCAAGGCGCGATGTGGCATACACGTGTGCATTCGCTCTTCACAGGCTTTGTGCAGGGCCTCATTATGAGACTCAATAATTTCTCACAAGATTACACCGCACTCGGCGATAGATCATCGGCGTCCCTAACATCATGATTGTCCAGACACTCATCGAGCACAGTGCTACGTACATGCTTCGGGACTAAAGTGACGTTTCAACCCTCCCACGAAGCTTCGCTCGCTATACTAACACGCAGAGGGCCAGCTTGAAAAGGGATCATAGTCCTTGCGCACGATAATCAAACCCTCCACAGCTTTAAGGCATTCGACGGCCTCGAGCACCTTTCGCATGGGCCAATACATGCAGCTGGTCCCGTTCACGTTTCCCTGCTCCACCAATGCTATCTCCTCTTCGACATGCACATAGAGCGCCTGAAGCGGCTTTCCTGCAGTCTTGCGCGCCTGAAGCACCTTCTCGAAGGTGGATACTAGCCCGTCACGCCATCCACTGGCACAGTTGATCCCATAGAGTACCATCCGCAAGTCAAAGACTGTGGCGTCCATGTCCAGAAAGCGAAGCTCCGATAAGACCGCTGCGTCTTTCAAAACCTCAAGGCCGTGGTATATCGCCCCACCCTGCCGAGCCGTGCCACTGAGGCGAAGGCGCGCGACATTGGGAAAGCACGTGAACTGTAGTATCGCACCATTAACGGCAGTGCCTGCATCCACGACGCTCAAGGTGTGAGCGAAACTCAGGCCCAGGCTCGGCAATAGGATATCTCCTCTCTCGAGCGGATAGTATAGAGTGAGTTGAGCATCATGCACGGGTTTTCGTCTCCTGTTGCGCGGAAAGATGCGATGATAATCCGCTATCTGCGACAATTCGATGGTCATATCGTTTGCTCCAGTAGGTTGGAAGTCGACGAAAGCGAACTGAGGGGGTGACGTTTCTTGACGTGAGCGGGAAAGTTGGCTAAGCTCGCGTGAAAGCGCGTAGTTCACAGACTCGTCTTTAGAGGGACCGAATGAGGCTAACGACAAGCGGGTATCAGAGGGCAGCCGAATATGCCGTAGTAGATGCACGAGCATCTCCGAGGATAGCTCCAGCATCATGGTCTTCAGGGACGGTACGCGGACCCGATCTTCACATCTCGCCGTGGAACACGCCTCGCAGGAGAGAGGGCATCTCCGTTGAACGTAATGTGTTAGGGTCAAATGAGAGAGAGAGTTGAGGCGCTGGAGAGCGGTGAGAAAATCCGGAATCTGAAAGCGCTCCGCCATGGTCATGTCGAGGGACCCTATGTTGCTCAAATTCTTGTGGGTCCAATCGAATGTCGTGAAGTCGCAGTTAGGGAGGAAGAATCGGAGTCTGTGTAGACGAGGGGCACAATCCAATAGTAGGTGGAGCGGATAGGACGCCGGCATTGCACTGAATATGTCTTCCACGGTAATATCTTCCAACGCATCAAAGTTTCGCGTGAATGCATCTCGATGAAATCCGATGGTCGGGGCAAATAGGAAAAGAGAGGATAAACGTGCATAGTCTGTGAGCAATAGATCGCCTAAGATAGGTGCTATATCTTGGCGCAGCTTAGCTGTGGGGGTATTTGTGAAAGACGATACATCGTAGTTGTTGATAGACAATGGCGCTTCCCGGCTCCGTTTGATGAACTCGTGCAGCCAGACGGTACCCAGACTGCCGTCGAGTTTAGTCCAGAGCACCGCGTGATCAATGGCGACCCTTCTCCAGCGGCGATCCACGTAGGTAACGTTGATCCACCCAAACTTGGAGTGGACGTGCGGTACGGACGGGGTCTTTGTATATGGTGACGAGCGACGAGGGCGATAGTCCAATATCGATTGTATGGGATCAACAGCCTGGACGAAGGAGAAGACGGCACGGAGGACTTCATCCGGTACTGTAGCAGTTCGATCCATCCCAATTTGAGCCACGTCGAGGGTGTAGAAGTGTTAGGCGGGTGGTTCCTTCGTTGCAACGAGATGGCAGTGCTAAGCCACGTCGTCGCAGTCAAGCTCTTGCGCTCTGTCGGAGGACCGGGACGAGAACCGGATCAGGGCCGATCCGTTCGGGCCCGGTATATATGGGCTCCCCGACGTCAGTCATGGTGTACCCTTCTTACTTCCTCCGCGAGGCTACCCATTGGTGACCGTATATGGCACTATCGGCACTATAGTTGATGTTGTACGTTCCTGCTGGTACCTGCCGTGGACGTGACTCGCTCACCATCAGTCCTCAGAGATAATGATGAAGAAGTGGCAATTGTGGATCGTACTACTACATAGGATCGCGGTGCTATTTCATTCTATTCCGCCGCTTAGGCGAGATTTGTGAAAGTCGCGACACTACTCCACGCTGTGAAGGGGTCGAAGTCCTTTCGCACAATACCCACGCCACCCACAGCCTCCAGAGCCTCGACGAGCTCAAGCGCCAATTGCGGCGACAACGCCTTGCACCTAGTCTCATAGGCCCGTTGGCGCTTCACTAAGGCTATCCCCTCCTTCACATGCACATAAATTGTCAATGGCGGATTGTCTGCCCTCCTGCGCGCCTGAAGCACGTTCTCAAGGGGAATGCGTGTCCCTGACCATCCGAGATAGCCAAAGTACATCAGGATTTTGATGAGGTCGAAAGCCGTACTATCCATGTCCACGATGCGCGACATGGGCAGCACTGCTGGGTCTTCAAGCAGGCGAATGCCGTGGTATATCGCGTTGTTCCATGGGCTGAGGCCCAGATGCAGGCGCACTACATGCGGAAAGAAGGGCAGCTGCGCTGCGTAACGTTCATTGCTTGTCGTAGAAAGCAGGTTGGAACTCAGAATCGCGTTTCGGAGTTATGGGATCGATGACTTGGAGGAAAGAGAAGATGGCACAGAGGGTCTCATCGGGCAGGATGGCTGTGAAATCGACGTTATCATCGTGCATGTCGGGATCGAGTTGGTCGTGAAGAGATGGCGGCGATGGGCGTCCAAACCAACTACAGCATGATCAGTTTTCCAAGAATTATCCGTCCTCGGCCCGGAGTGCGTGCTGACCGTGCGGTGCGCAGCTCATTTCACGGAGATCTGTGGGCTAAAGCTTCATACAGAGGGTGCTACGATACTAAGCGATACCTGTATCTTTTCATCATGACCTCATAAGTCTGACTTTAGCGCACTGATACTCTGTAGCAAGATGGTTTATTCAACACCCGTGCATCTAGAGCACTCGATGTAACCAGCCAATGCCTCAGACACCGACCTCAGCCTTCCCGCTCGCTCCAAACATCGTCTTTATAGCCGTAGGACTTCAGCCTGCTCACTGGGCGCACCACCTCACGCCGGCACACAATCTTCAATGGCAAGGCGACTCGTAGGCGTGCAGGGCGGAACGGGCGCCAGGCTACGCCAGCGCTCACGCGAGACAGCACCCGCGCGCCCAGTGGGTTTGGTACAGGAGAAGTTGTTCATGACGCGCTCTATCGTCGTAGCTGAGATCAAAGGTGTGCATTGGACGGTTCTAGTTGACGATGATACGCGAGGTCGTCGCCGTTGTAAGTCAAGTTGAAGTCGCGAGCGGCGAGGAGACGGGATGGGGGCCGGATCAACGTCGGCCATCAATCCGTTCGGGAGCGCCGCGACGCTCTCCGCGTCCTCGACCATTCCTCTAACACTCTCCATGAAGATGACGAATCTTAGTGACTGTTGCTTCATTCCTCTGCCTGAGAATCGTCTTATGCTTCATAGGCAGTACGAATGACAGCGTGCGCTCGCACTGTGTCTCGCTCGTTGTCATCCCAACTCGCGCCGTGTCGCGTTGCAAGCCTGGCGTGTAGACTCTATCTCATAATTTATACCATCTTGAGACTTCCGGTCGCAATGTCTACGAATGATCGGCTTGTCTGAGTACTGTTGTCTGAGTACTGTCCCCACTCCAGGCCCTCCTCGACTAGGTCTTCCTGTCCTGTGCAGTGCTGAAGGCGCGCGTGGGGCTGCTCTCGCTTATGGGAAGACTGCCGCCCCTCCACTCAAGGGCTGGGGAGGGTAGGAGTAGCTTGGCTGCTTCCTTGCCCACATTCTGTCGTAGATACGACTCGATCCAGCTTCATGCACGTAGCCTCTACACCCGTACTGTGCTCAAAGGCAGAGCGGCGCGTAGCGACGAGAAAGACAACCAGCGACGGGTACATGGACTGCGCGGCGTCAGACGCGCTCATGGATCATTCCTTGCTGAGTAAACTCACGATGAGCGGCACCATGTAATAAGGGGTCGAGAACGCGGCCTCCGAAGGTACGTTGATGTGATTGACGAGGAGGAACGAGAGCTACATGAGTAACTCCTCAGCCGGGCTGCACGGCGAGCGAGATAGATAGGGGCCTCACAATAAGTGCCAGATATATGATGCCAGACTCGATCAGGACGCCTAAGATCGCAATGCTGTGACGCGTATTTGTGAGGTGCGCGAACTCCCTGACATCTTTCCAGTGTGACCTGGGGCTGTACGTTCAGTCGGCGCCTCTTCTGAAGAACTTGAAGGTGGGTCACATACCATGTCTTGTACGCTATCAGGATTGTGGATGATAACTGGGCCACAGACGTCCAACAGAGCGCGACAGCACCAGCGGGGAAGGATATATCTGCGAGTTTCGCAGAAGCATTGCCGTCAAGAGGGCCCGTCTGCATTCCCGGATAACCGCCGACGGCGGTGACGATGAAGAGACAGTACAACACTGTTGCTAGAGCATCAGCTCACATGTACTATGCGCGCGTGAATTCGTTCACTCACAGCCCTCGATGATGGTTATTGCGATGTAGAGTACGTACAGCCAACGTGGTCTGCCGCATATGACATATGCTCGCCAAAGTGAGATGACATCGCCGAGGAGCAACTAAGAAGTATAGGTCAATGCGACGGCGACAGACATGAAGAGACACAACATACACTCGCGAGCATGAATCTGCCTTGAGCATAACCCAACCACTCCGCTATGAGAACTGCCCTGTCTGATGGGAGTCCTTCCTCGGTCGGGCGACCTTGAGCGATCCAGATCCGCAACTGATACACTGAGATTGACCATGAGAAGCAGAATAGGATGAATACCGCCAGGGATATCAAGAGCATGAAGATCGGTAACGGCGTATGCTTATCGCTCCTGTGCAAGCAGACACTAGGTTAGGCGACCTTTCTTCTTCTTGAGCGCACTCACCCTCGCATCCTATGATGAAGCAGTACACCGCAAAGAACCGTATATAGAGCTGTAGATAGTAATTGATGCGTCAGAAAACTTGCAGGGATGAAGACTGAGATCGACAGACCAAACAGAAAGGTTTCCGCTAGAAGCGGAAAGACCCGTTCTTCGATCTCGAGGGCATAGACTGAATTGTTCCTCCCTGAGAGGTCGTGGCTGATAAGCAAGATATTCATCTGAAGTGCGTATGAAGTCAGCCTTTGCTTCCCTTGGCCTCGTTAGTTATATGCAAGTGAAAGTGAAACCAGTCTCACGCCTGATACACTGAGATGAACGCGGGGTTGGCGTCTGGGATACACTTCAGTACGCAATCAACAGACCCTTGCCAGACCCTTGAATGAACATCATCATAGGCGGTGAGTGTCGCACGCTATCAGTGTGGGAAGAGCCTCGAGGTGAAGTACAGTCCACTGTACATCGCCGTACAACCCTGATGCTTCAAGTCAAAGGGCGTCAGTTGCCCACAACACCGTGCACAGGCTTCCAACCCAATGGATGATGAGTGCAGTCCCTTGGCTAGAACGGTCAAGTATAATACATAGGAGCGAGCGCTGCACTTCGCGAGCTAGAGCAAGAATGAACATGACCCTCGTTTCGCGCTATCGCTCGCTTTGGCGAAGAACGATACTACGACGCATGCCGAGAAGCAGGAGAGACATTAGAGGAGCGGCCAACGAGCATTTGGTGGTGCAAAAGAGGTCAAGAAGTATTCGTTCTAGGCGTCATGGCCCAGAAAGAGCATTGCTTCGATTCACACGGCGAGATCTATTGAAACACAAGTGTTCATTGAGTGCCAAAAATGCGTATGCGACAGTGTATCAAGAAACATGCACCAACAAGACAGGTCGAGTGTTCGCAAAGGTCAAGATCTCCTCCCTCCTTCCCCCTTCACAACTCGACATCCATAGGCTCAACATCCATCCCATCCTCCTCATCCGCCAACGCCCCTCCATCCACCTCCACCTCCCCCGTCCCTCTCCTGCCCCCAACAACATCCCCATCATCATCTTCCTCCTCAACAACCCCCCTCACCACCGGCGCCTGATCCTCAAACCCCAACCCCGGCAGCGCGCCAAACACCGGCGGCCTAAACGGCACAAGCGCCAGCCTCCTCGCCTCGTCCTCCCCGCTCACGCGCGGCAACACCGGCGCCCCAATTCTTTTCTGCAACATCTCCAGCGCAGAAGGCAGTACAACCGGCTCGGACTCCGCCTCGCGCTCGTCGTCCGCGTCCGAGCCGTCGAGGTCCGTCACGATGATTCCTAGACGCGACGTGGGTTGACGTTGAGTTTGATGCGGGGAAGAAGAGGGAGGGGGAGGGGACGCACGGTCTGGTGTGGGCTCGTACCACGACGTGGCGTGCATACGGATTTCGGGTACGGGTTCGTATTCTTCGACCGAACCGTTTCTCAACATCTCGCCCTCGCCCTGGCTTTCGTAGGCGCCTTCAGGAGGCAAAGGCGCTGCGAACGAATGTGTACTCGGCGGATGTTGCGCCTGTGGCACGTCTTCTACGGCCATTTCTAGATCGTCGCCATAAGAAGACGACTGCGACCGGTCGATGTCCGGTATATTATGCGGGTACAACCTCGGCGCGGGGGGTTGTGGCGGCGTAAGCGACAGTTTCGCTAGAGTGCCCTCTAGACCGCTGGCCCGAAAGCGTTTGCGGGCATGTGTGCTCGGCAGCGGGGGCGTCGTAGTCGCCGAGCGCGGGTAGCGCTGTACTTGTGCGGGAGTAGAAGGCGCGTCATCGTCCGAGTTTGTGTCGTCGGACGAGTGCGTGCGTTTACGAGACGAGGTGCGCATCCAGGGGTGAGAATACAGCGTAGACATAGCTAGTGGGATACTGATACAGAGAAATATGCGAGCGGTCGACTATTGCGTATAAGTATAAGAGCAGAGCAAAGGTGGCTGAGACTTCAAAAGCGACGAGAGCGAATGCGAGGACGTGGATGAACGTTCGAGAACAGGCACGGCCGTTCGACTTTCGGAAATCGTGGCGCTTTGTTTCTATTCACTTGATCGCGTTCTCATTCTCACGGCCGCGGAGAAATAGTTTCCGATCCGATTCCAAACGAACGGACTACTGGAGGGCAGGCAGGCAGCATGGCGCATGAAAAGCATAGACATATACTGAACATGGGACTCGTACGGAGGATCGAGATAGAGGACAACAAATGTGCGATGGAATGATGTGATGGTACACTCGTCCTCCCCGTGATGAAGAAACACCCAAAGCGCGAGTCGTTTAACCGCGCTTCTTCGACACACCGACGGTCTTCCCGCGACGACCTGCACACCCTATAAGCATACATCCTATACTAAAACAACACAGAAAGACATACCGGTGGTCTTGGTGTGCTGACCGCGGACACGGAGGCCCCAGTAGTGGCGGAGACCACGGTGCGCGCGGATCTTCTTGAGGCGCTCGAGGTCGTCGCGGAGCTTCGAGTCGATGCCGTTGGACAAGATCTGGCCGCTCTTGCCGTCGACAATGTCCCTTTGCCTGTTCAAGAACCAGGTCGGGATCTTGAACTGCGTCGGGTTTTGCATGATCGTCACGATCCGCTCGAGCTCGTCAGAGTTGAGCTCGCCGGCGCTATATATCACGTTCATATATTTAGTATATTGGTCGTGCGGTGGAGGAGTGAGGAGGGACGCACCGCTTGGCGAGGTCGACATCGGCCTTTTTGCAGACAATGTTGGCGTACCGCCTGCCGACACCCTTGATCTCCGTCAGCGCGTACATGACCTTGCGCTTTCCGTCGACATTGGTGTTGAGCAGACGCAGAATGTGCTACACCCACACATCAATATCCCATCCCCCAATAACAATATTACAGATGCAACGCACCTGGAACTGCTGGTGCGCCTCGGGGACAACGAGAGACATGGTGGGCGAAGGGAAGAAGCGGAAATTGCGGCCCTGCGCGCAAAGGGTCAGCAAGCGTCATCCAACTCGGATCGCACCCATCCAGCCCCCTCCCGTCCTCCTCTCCCTCCAACACAGCATCCAGACGGTAGAGAAGGGCTTCGGAAGGAGCACGGGCAGCATGACGGACTCACCGAGGCGGTCTTGACGTCGTGGAGCTCGACGAGCGCGGATGGAGGAGAGCGGGCGCGGCGGGCCACGCGAGAGAATGATGGCGCGTCTGACCGGGCCGGAGTTTTGGGTTGAACTTGATCTCGACTTTCATGTTGCCTCTTGTACTTTACTCAATTCTTGCATAATGAAACGAGTTATTGTATCTGGGATTCGGAGATACTCTACTCTGCCTCAGCAGACAGACTTGCTTGAGCACTACCGCGGACTCGTCGCGCTCGGGCGCATCCAGTACGACCCCGACCAGGTCCGCGTGCTGATGCAGGTGCATCCCGCTCTCCGCTGTTCATCCCGCTGGCGCTAAGCGTGGCGCCAGCTCAGACGTCTACGCCATGAACTCGACGGCTACGCACCACCCCTTATGCCCGCGAGATACTTTGAACTCAACGACGCTTCCACGACCCCTAACTCAGATTCCACACCTGCATGGTGGGACAAAGACAACGCAGAACCCACCGCCGAAGAAATGACATCCCTCGTCCGCGTCCGCACGAACGCCGAAGAGCTCGAAGCCCTCACAACGCCCAAAGGACTCCTCGTCACGGGCCCTCCAGGCGCGGGCAAAACCTTCCTCGTCGACATGTTCTACGCTCAACTTCCTACGCCATTCAAAGCCCGCACCCATTACTCCCAGCTTGTACTGGATGTATACCGTGCTGTTTGGGAGGAGACACAGCTGCGTATGACCTCGCCGAGCGAGGCGCCACGTGAAGTTGAGAGAGCGAAGTGGACGAGGAATGTGAGGGAACATTGGAGGGACCTAGTGAGGAGCGGCGCGGTGGGTATATCTTGGCCAAGGGGACCGAACGCCTATGCGTCGCCAACGCGCTTGCCGATTGCGCTGGCTGTGGCACGAAAGCTTGTGCTCAGGCATTGGCTACTGGTACTGGACGAGCTCCAACTCCTCGATGTTTCATCCGCGACACTGCTTTCAGACGTTCTATCTTACTTCTGGCGCCTCGGAGGCGTCTTGGTTGCCACGTCGAACCGTGTACCGGAGGATCTGTACCGCAACGGTGTGCAGCGCGACAGGCTTGAACCATTCGTTGCTGCGCTCACGGCGAGGTCACCGGTCGTTGAGATGAGGGTGGAAAGGGACTGGCGCGTTGTGCGTGCTGAGGAGGGTGTTGGTGGGACGTGGTACACCGAGAATCAGCGGGACGCGTTCGATGCGCGCCTTCAGCAGGTCGCCGGCGGGGACAAGCCGACCCCTCGCACACTGAACATCTTCGGGCGTCAACTCGTCGTACCATGGACCTCAGGCTCGATATGCAAGTTCACCTTCGCAGAGCTATGTCTCGAGGTACGCATCACTCTCTCCCCTTGACCCCTTGACTTCTCACAAGCCAAACCTAACATAACGTTCTCCAGTCCCTCGGACCAGCCGACTACCTCTCCCTCGCCTCAACATTCTCCACAATAGCCATAACATCCATCCCAATCCTCAAAGTCTCCGACAAGAACCAAGCGCGCCGGTTCATCAGTCTCATCGACGCCCTATACGAAGCGCGATGTCGCCTCCTCTGCCTCGCCGCTGCGCCGCCCGAACAACTCTTCTTCCCTGACGCTACCGAGACTACGCGAGAGGATGTGGACGTGATGATGGCAGAATCCGTCGCAGAAACGCAAGACGTCTACCGCCCGAACGTCTCGTCGTACGACGCGCCACAGATGGACGAAGCCCCCGCTGCACCCTCCGCGCCACTCGCGCTAGACACGCTCTCCATCTTCTCGGGCAAAGACGAGCAGTTCGCGTACAAGCGCGCGTTGTCGAGGCTGCGAGAGATGACGTCCGCGAGATATGCGCGGGAGGAAGTGTGGAGGCCTATCGGAGAGGAGGGGCGGAAGTGGGAGCGGAGTTCGGCGGGTGCGAGGGCGAGGGCGCCGGTGGGGACGAGACGGGCGGACAGCGAGGGTGAGGAGGGTGATTACGCTGCCGAGGCGGCATACGAGCGTACACGACATGGGGTCGATGCGAAGGTGCGGCCTGAGGCGCCGAGGATACGACCGAGGCATGTGTGGGGCGTCGATGAACCAAGTGGATGACGCTGTGCTCGCTGTTGATTAGGATGATAGGTAGCAAATAGTGTACGTAGCCACCCTTTAGTCGAACATGTATCCATATATTAGCACGTTACTTCAAGTACCACTTCATCGGCGAGTTTCTCGCTAGAAACATCGTATTCGTCCGCAGTGCACATGAAATAGCTTCTCACGATAAACATATAATACAGTGTTATTTCTGTGTAGCTCTGTATATATTCAATTTATGTCGTACCGGATTGAACGACTCCTTATCTTATCACTTGATCAGATCGCGGTCGGGTATCACCGGGGCCTGCCAACGATAACATCAAGCGACGACAGACTTGATCTCTGACCACCATCTCGCTGCGCTGCTTGCACTTGGTTATGGAGAGAGACTCGCTTGATCAGACCCTCATCCTACCTGACGAGATTTTATGCATAGTATTCTCCTTCGTTCGGTCGAACGAACCCGTCCACGTACATTCCTGGCTTGATGTGGAACCCAGGACTTTTGGGTGGGTGAGGATCACACGAGTAAGCCGTCGATGGAGGCAGGTGGCGATTAGATGCCCCACTCTCTGGACGCATCTCACCGGCAAACTCGGCTCTCGTTGGCTCGAAGAGTTCACGCAGCGGAGCAAGAGCGCGCCTCTCTACATCGACGACCAGAACTTCGCGTATGAGAGCTCAGGCTGGCCCTCAAATGAGATTCGCAACCCTTCGCTTACCAAGGTGCTGACTGTGCACCGCCTTCGCATTGCCACCTTACGACTACATAACGCACCGCGCGAGATTGTCGTCGAGCCAACCAGAGGCGTCGGACTGCCCATCCTCGCGGATTTGTATCTCTGGTCCGAACACCTCAAGGCGGACGAGCTGAGCCCTGGGCAGTTGCAAGACATCATGGGCTATACGACCCGTTTACGCCGGCTGCATCTCGACCTGCCCAATTTCCAATCTTCCACATTTGACTGGAAACAACCTTCGTTGGGTGGTTTGACCACTTTAAACATCGCCATGAAGACCGGCGAAAACTCCTTGTTTTCGACGGAGCTTTGGAAGGCTCTTTACCGCATGACTTCTCTCGTCGAGTTAGCTCTTCACGAGAACGAGGGAAGGCGATTTACGTCTCGTGAACGCGATGTCCATCGATGCCCGGGCACGCCAAACAATCTCATCATCATGCGACGCCTCGAGTCTCTCGTTCTTGAGGGCCCATTAGAGATGCACACACACTTCTTACGACACGCTCGGCCTCCTTCGGACGCGCGCATCAGCTTTATCTCTCAATCGACCTCAGATGGAGGCTCGGCCGTTCATGACGCCCTTGCCGGCGAGTTGAGCGCACTACTCAAGTCTCACGAAAACAAACCCGTTTTTCAAGCAGCTTATGCGGGATTCTCTCCTACCAAGTTAGCCTGTCTTGGGCTTTCACGCGGCGTGCGACCATATCAGCCTCTTGCTTCCTTCGCACAGGGCCCTGAGGATCCTCACGAGCACAATCGCAATAATCTAGATGTGCGATATCTCGATCGCAGGTGGAACTCTCTTCTACCACATCTTCCACTCGGATACATCCACACCTTGACTCTACACAACGCCGGCCCAGCCTCAATACGCACGTACCTCTCGCTCTTTCCCAACGTCGAGCGCTTGCGTTTATCCGTGGATCGATCATTTCCAAGGCACGATATTGGCGCCCTCGAAGACCGCAGTCTCGCCCGTATGCTCCGCTACATCGACATGGATGCGTCATTCTTCGACTTACGGACCACTTTGAGCTGTTACTCTCCACAGGGCGCGCATGTTGTGCCAGAACGGTTTACCGTTCTTGAAAACGTCCTACAAGCACGTTGGGAGATGGGCTCGCCGCTGATTATCTTCTTTCATGTCAAGGAGGAGGTTGAATGGATGGAGGAATGCCGCATATGGCATGCTGACCGCTGGAGGGACATCGCAGAGGAGACCATGCGTCGGAGTGTCGAGCGCTTAGAGTCCATTGAAGGCGTGCAGTTCATAGGCAGACACGTCGATCTCTTCGGACCATGAGGTATATATACCAGTAATACATGACCGGCTTGCCAAGTGCTTCGCGAGTTGAATGTAGTGCTGGTGGCATACATCGAGTAAAGTCTGTCAGGGTCTATTTTGTAGTACTAGAATGGGTCAAGTAGTCGGTGATCGCTTGGTGATATGACGAAACAGTCGAATCGACGAGTGAGTTAGTGTGAACAGATAATGTGACATGCGTGAGGCGCATGCTTGCTTGAGACCTCGAGCAAACACCCTCACAAGAACACCTGTTATTGATACCGATGGCGCCAGTCGGTACACCTCAGGCAGATCCGTCACGGCAGGACGCAAGCCCGAAGGAGGCCTAGGCTTGGCCGCCGATGCCCGACGCTGATCCCATCACTGTCAGTGCCCTGCGTTCGCAACTCCAACTTGACTGCAACACTGACCACTGTGCTACGTTGAAGTGCTGGCTATACTATGAACGAGCGTACAAGACGAACTCGGACTCAACATCGTGGAAAAATGCAACTATTGGTAGCGTCAGCGCTCGTCACAGCCGGCCGTTGCCGCGGCATCAACATTATTTCAAGATGTCGACGGCGGAATCCGTGCCACCGTTCCTTTGTCCGCAACCACGACGAGTCAGAGCCACCTACGAATCCTCAGCCGGACAAACCTCTACGCAGTGGAGCGCGATACACACGAGATATACATGGAATCGGTCGACCCGTAAGCCCTTCATATTCACAGGTTGCAAGATTGAGGATCGAGTTTCCGTACAGTGTAAATTCTTGGGACAGAGTGGCGCGCGCAAGACTCGTCGAAAGGCGTCAAGATGAAAAGCTTCGGGAGTATCGCTCACGGTTAACGGACGATGTCGAACACTTACAGCGCGCTCTCACCCGCGCGAAAGACTTGCTCAATTCCGCCACCCCGATCCTAACGCTCCCCGACGAACTCCTCCTAGAAATCTTCATGACCTTACGCGATCTCTTGCATACCCCCTTTCAGAGTAACTTTGTGAAATGCTCTTCCCCCTACTGGATCTCCGTCGCCGTTGTTTGCCGCCGCTTTCGTCGCATCGTCTTCGAATCTCCTAGTCTGCACGCCTGTATCCCCGTGCGGGTGCTCTCCAAAGGACAAGTGGAACGAGAATTGCAACTCTCCCTACCCCTGGATGTAGACCTCGGCGTTGGAATATCACACGACACTGACCAGGTCAATGGAACCTTCAATCTTTTGAACGAGCATGGTTCTCGTGTTCGCACTTTGATACTTAAAATTTTCGATTCCGACACCTTCATAGCATCATTCGGGAGCTGGTTACGCACCATGCCTCGCCTAAGGTTTATGATACTCTCGCACGCAGGCGCCATGTTGGATTATCCCATGCGTCTCCCATCGACCGCAAGGGCCATGATACCTGAACTTACCACGCTACACGTTGATTGCCTGGCCGTGGACTTTACGTGCGGGGCTTTCATCGGTCTCACAGAACTTGTCCTCACAGATTTGGTGTTCAACCGTACATCTCAGTTCAAAGATTCGAATAGTCTACGGACTGCATTCCAGCACATGCCACGATTGCGAAGGCTCATCCTTATCAACGCACAGTATGGAAACTCTCACGACGTAAACGTGAACCTTCCTCTCTCTCTGCGCCATCTGGAGGGCTCACAGGAAACCGGAGATCCCATGTCCCAAGTCCCAGGTGGGACGTCCCAAATCCCACAGGGGGTGTCCCACATCCCAAGTAGATATCCCCTGTCTCATGTAGTCAGTTATGATATCACCGCACGGCAACAAATAAATAAAATGTTTCCGCGTATGACACAACTACGGAAGCCACGCGAGCGAGCCCCACGCGGCTCAAAGCACGTGGCCGCGTCGCGCCCGTCGCGTCCGCGGGGCGGAAACGTCGAGCATGCTCTGTACACTTTCCTTGGCTTGTACTGAAGATGCTCGACCTCACGCTATCTGCATCTTCTTCGCTAGAGCTTCGCGGCAAAATCGAGGCTCTTGACCGGTTCCAGCGCATCCTCACAGCTCACAAAGACGACATTTTACATGTCATGCCCAGCAAGGCAGATCCGGTAGACCCGCCGCCCAAGCTTGTCGGCTCGATTCTGCGCTTTGTCTGCCTTATGTGTGGTATGGAGGAGGAGGAGGCTCAACGCTACTGGGAGCTCCTCCGCGAGGCGATCTGGCATTGCCCAAAGGATCTCCATGATGAGGCGCTCTCTGATCTGTATCGTAGATTCAAGAACCTCACCGCCCGAGGTTAGCAGTCACTGTTGGAATACCAAGATTAAATTGGACTGACCAAATATCATACAGCGGAGATCATACTGTGGCCGCCACTCCCAAATCACCGTTGCTTGACCTCGGGTTGTCACCGTCAGCAGACGGCTATGCTCACGAAGACAGAGAATACCGACGTCCTCATATTCACGTCCAAGGGCACTATCCCTTCTGTTGCTGTACAACTGACATGTGACCGTGAGCTATTTCCTTGAACATGGGGAGCCACCATTAAACATCTGCACTAGACTGCGGTGTTAATTATCGCCACGACTACTACGTCAAGGAACAGAAGCGCTACTACTACAGTGCTGAGCAGCGCGCTCACGGCACTGATCAATATGTTCAAGTTGGAGAGCATCACTTTGTCGAGAGAGATCTCTGCGAAGCGTGGACACTCTCAATGCTCAACGCATGGTATGCCACCTCTGTCTAATCAAAGGCGCTATCCCAACTGAACTTTTGGACAGGGTCTCAAACTCGAACATTGCCGCCCAATACAACCAAATGCTGCCTTTCCTTGAACGCAGTCATAAGCATCGGTATCAATACGACTACGTTTGGCGTAAGTTCATGCGCCCCGAGCACGTATGGACCGCGTTTGCAGTTCATGCCCTCCTCCAACACCACGATAGGCATGGTTCAACTCTGGTTGTACCTCACGGAGGGCTACAAGATGTTCGCTTCAAAGCCGCAATGGAGGCTCGCAGTACTCACATACAAGAGCATGGCCAGGAGGAACTGATGCACTTTTGCGACAAGTGTTGTCGGCAGTACGTTGCTGAGGACGGAACAACAAGTACGTGATCTTGTCGGTCACATCCAATTGATAAGGGCCTCATACCTTTTATTAGAGCGCGTCTGGTGTGTCGTTGTTGACGGCCTGACCCTCGGCCGGCCCTGTTGTAGCGCACATATCAATGGTGCTCCTTGCACCGAGCCTTTGGGTCAGCGCAACGATCATTTCTGCAGAACCCACCATGATCTTCATGATGTCTGCCGCGTGCGAGGATGCAACTCGCAAATACGCCCTGGTGCTCTCACTTGTGCGGATCCTGGCCACGCGGCAACCGAACAAGCGCACAAGGAACGCAACACCGCCAGCTTCAGGCTGAAGGAGAGAGTGAATCGGATTCGGGAGGCCAATGCAATGTCAGGGCTTGGCGTTGAGCTTGATCTGACAGCCGTCGAGGGTTTGGATGCGCTAGATGAAGACCAGGACGTGTTACTTGAAGTTTCAGTTGAGCGTCCGCCTGGGTCGGTGTCATCTACAGCTCAGCCGCTTCATGGGCGGCCACGATCAAACTCCGCACCGACTGCAGCTCCTAAGGTCAAGATAACCGCTCAACTGTCGCGTCGCCGTACTCACAATGAGCAACTGGCTGTCTACCCTTGCGGTATGATAGCTGGCCGCGCAACCTTCTTCTTTGCTGAGTCAATAACTGCTTGTGCGGTAAGTGCACATTCCCTGGCCCAACCGGATGATGTATACATACTCATCTTTTTGCAGATTTTCTTGAAGCGTCTGTACCTGACCGCCGCAAAGCCCGATCATCTGGCCTATGACACGAACTGCAAGCTATCCTGGCACGTCCGAAATGATCCTTGGTTCGACAGCATAGGCCTGTCAGTTGACGTCTTTCACTTCAACTCTAAGCACTCCGAAGAGGACCGCTGGTGCCGCGAACATTGCGATCCAAACAACTGGCCAGAGCTCAAGACCGACGATGGCGGCTACTTTTTCAACACATCTATAGCGGAGCAGACAAATTCGTGGCTAGGTCGCTACCACAGTATGTGTCGAGAGATGCTTCCTTTCCGATACGACTTCTTTCTGGATGAGATGATCCGCCGCCGCAATATCGTTACCAAAGAGAAGTTGACCCGAGATGGGCTGCACCCCTGGTACTTTAGTGCTGACGGTCGTCCAGCTCAGATTTAGACATAAGCTTTTACGTATATACAATACAGATCTTGAGAACTACATAGCGACATTGGCAAAGAAATACACTGTGATGATGCAAGAGAGGAACACCGCTACGGTCCGTCAGTCAATGGTCATACTGCAACAGGCAAGGAGGTACGAACCCAGGCTAGGGATGGATGGTGAGGCTGGAAAGATCAGCCGCCAAGCTGTCAAGATTGGCAGACACAGTGGACGTTGCAGCGGGCGTTGTAGTTGTAGTGGGCGTAGTTGTGACTGGTGTAGTGTTTACTTGTTCGCTAGCAAAGTAGGCCAGAAAGCCAGATGCGAGAGCATCGATACCATCATTGGCGGGTGGCGCGGGGGGCGGTAGATGTGCCGGGTCGATTGTAAGTGAGCTGAAGAGCGAGGCCAGCTCAGACGTTGACTTTGAGGGTGGAGCTGCTATCAGACGCTTCACCCAGCGGCGGTGACGGGGGCTCCAGGCTATAGAGAACCGAGGCTTTCTCGATGGCTTTGAGCGAGAGGATGTGGGCTCCTTGGATGTAGTCATGAGTGTAGTTGTTCAACAAAACATGGTAGCCAACGCACTCAAGAACTCCATGTTTGTATTTCGGTCTGTAAGTATACATGTTCCATCACTTGGTTGTCTCTTCTTGACATAGAGACTGCGATGTCGAGAGCGCGTTTCCGCCATGAGGAAACGTTGTGCATGTCACGTCAAGGTGACCGTCGACGCCAACCGTTGAACGTCCTCATATACCGCCGCGACTGAGAACCCACATCTCTTCCCACCGCTACCACCACTATCATACATCCCTTGTCCATGTCAGACTCTCCGTCAATCAGCTCTCTTGACTCGTCAGTATTGCGTTCACCTTGTCATTGGAATTACAGGTGGGCCACGCGTCTCTGAAATGCCAGCAATATATCTAACCCACCACCAGCTCACAAACCTCAGCTCTGATGAGTTCTACAACGATCTTCAGCTCACCCACGAGATCTGGGAGATACGCCACCACCGGCGGCCTGTACCGGGCTGCGCAGTTGAGCTTTCGGATGGCACCCGCGTCTACGTCTACCCAGCCTCCAGTTATTTCCGCTTTCACCATGCTCGCGTCTACTATCTGGATGGGTCAATTGTGGAGTACACCTTGCGTATTGGCCCGCTTCCAGGTGGTCTGCGGGGTGTCGTCTTGCCGGCCGTGGGTCCCAACACCCTACTTGTTGAAAGCGGGCGCCCTTGCATGGATGATTGTCGCTCTGCGGGATCGTCCTACATTCTTATTCCCGGTCTGAGTGTGGCCTAGGCATGTCATCTCCAAATGTACGCGATGCTCAGCATTTGACATGATTGTTCAGCAGAAATGTATCTACTATACAAACTATATTATGTGGCTTATAGACATGTTCTAATGTAAATGATCACCCCAATGATTGTCGTTGTCCTCGAATGCGTCAAGCTCACGGTCAGTATGAAGAACCAATGACGCACGGCGTCCGCGGAAGTGGAGGTTGAAGTGAGTGGTCTCTGACGAGCGGAAGACAATGAGATCGCCTGAGCGTAGAGGAAAGACAAGACCTTGCTCATAGAAGCAAAGGTCCCCACCCTCCCAGTCACCCAGTGCAATAATACAGCAGAACTTCTTATCTTTCTTATCCCGGTGCATTCTTGTGATGACGTTGACGTTGACCACCAAACCCGCAAACGGTGCAGTGGGTGAGCTCTGCGATCCTGGGAGCCGCTCTATAGAGATTACGATCTCGTTCATCTCATCCTTGAGGTAATGGTGTAGCTGGTTTATGTCAGATATATTGCGGTCTAAAGTAGCTGTCAAGGCTTACCGTCTGGCGCACCCAGGCAAAGAGGTCTTGAAAGACAACCTCAAGCTCCTCATAGACTGAACGGAATTCACGCATGTCGGCTGACGCATAAGGGAGGGCTTGTGAGATATTCGTCTTCACTCCTGACCGCCGCAGATTTTCTGGATGCACAGTTTTGGGTGCGCCTGTCCCCTAAACGGGAACTGGTGTGAGTGTATGGACATTAGCTGTAGTAAAAGCACATACCTGGGTGGCATGCCGATTGTACAGAGAAAAATGCCAGACTAGGAAATGAAAGAGCGTATTTCCTGTCTGCTGGGAATCAACGTTCTGAAGAGCCACTAAGCGGCCAAGGGCGATTTGTAGCGTTGCGAAGAGGGTAGTCCTCATGCGTTCCCCCATAGCGCGACATACCCACGCCATCAATGAGCCATCCGAGTTGTTGAGCCGGAATACAGGCCTGCCAAGACATTACTTTTTAGAAGATCGGATACACGTTCGCAAACTCACTCTGTGATGTGGGCAGGAATCTTCAGATATGACGAGCCAGACTCCCGATAACCGCCAGCAAAGCGTCGCAGGAGCTAGTGCAACATGTGGTAAGCCATCTACAATAGGCATAGAACGTAGATGTACTATACTTCTTTACGAAGATCATTGGCAGATGAGGGAACAACGGCCTGTAACGCACGTTTCCTATTCCTTTCTGTCTTCTCCTCGGCCCGCTGCCGATCACTCGAAACAGTGTAGGTTGTGTTGCGTTCATGCTGGCGATCAAAGGAGGTTTCAAATACCTGCACAGCTGGGTAATTGAATTCTTCTGTAGGGTGGATATGTCAGTATGCTGAACATGAGAACAGAAGGTGCACTCTCACCCTCAAGCAGCGGTATCTCGTAAGTGGGACCACAGCGAACACCAGACAAGGCACGAGCTACGTTCAAAACTCGGTTGCAGGGGAAGTTGCCATCCAGGACAGGTTGCCAGGCGTCAGGATCGCGGCCTCTCAAGGCCCAGTCCCTCAGCAAGACATGACTGGTCAGGTTATCGGAGTCTTGCAGACGCGATACAGCCTTGAGACCGTGGAATGGACGTGCAAGTTCCCATACAGCTTGCATGCTCGCCTGCATGTCGGCCACTGCGGGAATAATCCGGTTCGTAATAATCGAACCGACTGATGTACCTGTGTGTAGATGTAAGAGGCGCGGAAAACATATAATGTTAACAAAATATACCGGTCACAGGGTTTCGGAGCGCGTCAGCGAGCAAGCGGGGTTCGTTGATAAGCAGTTTATTGATCTTCTGCCGTAGTCCAAGGCCTGCAGCTAAGACAAGACCCGGGATGCCAGCTATGAAACTGTCAGCAAAAGTGCGGCGTGCAAATAAATGTAAGAACATTTACCTCCAGCAATGAGACAAAGGTATTTGAGACCGTTGTCGTACGCGTCTCGAAATGCCTTCTGACCGTGTTGGGAGGGAGTACCCATTGCGATCGGAGCTTGAGCGCAGAGGAATTCGTAGAGATCAGATATGACGGGCACATCATCTTTGCGAGCTTTGAGCGGTACAGGTTGCTTGGTCCGCTTGCGCTTCGCAGATAGGCGGCCAGCCTTGGTGTTGCTTTCCTCGCGTCGCCGGGCCTTGTTTTCTTGCTGAATGCGCTGAGCAGCAGAGAGCGGTACGTCGTTGTCCTTCCACACTCTGCGCAAAAGACGTCAATAGACCGTACTCAACATTCATCCGTACAACTTCGAACACTCACTGTTGGGCTGCAAGCGCACACTCGGCCGACGAGAGCATCAACCAAAACTCGCTCGCGACAGTTGATCCAGAGAACTGGACTGAAGCCAGGTACGAAGATGCCAGAGCTACGATGTCTTGCTCTCCAGTTTCAGTCGTAGGTTGATCAATGTGGCCGACCGAAAGAACAGAGGATAACCAGTGGTGGTAGCGTGCCGGGTTAACGTTTGCGAATCGGTTAAGTAGGGACGTGCAGGCGGCCGGGATTTTGGTGTTTCCCGTAACCGACTCGGTCCACTCGCGCTCGATATTGGCACGAGCACGCGCCCCCTTGTTCTTCGATTTCTTGCCGTCCTTACCGCCGCGCGCACAATCTTCCGTCCAATTATGTCCGGCAACATTGGGCGGCGGTGGAGGTGGAGGCGGGTCATCGGGAGGCGGAGGCGGAGGGGCAGCTAGGTGTGTGTTAGCGCTATATATAATCAGTGAAAGGAGCCAACAACGAACCTCGGCGACCGCGGCCGCGACGAGCTTTCGGCGAGCCATCAGCCGTGACGGTCTCGTCCGCCGACTCGTGCGTCAGAGCTTCGGCGGACGCATTCATAAATATGCTGAGCGCCTGCTGGGACTTTGGTGACAGCGCTGACCAGGGAATATCCGCGGCCGACGCCTGCGACGAGCGGGACGGGGTTGCGTCGTCGAGACTGAAGCTTCGAGAGCTCCTGACACCAGAAGCTCGCGGCGGTGTAGTGGGTACGGATGAAGCATCGAAGGGAGGATTATTCTGAGAGGCAAGGCTGTCGGAGAGACTGAGGGCGGCCTGCAACTCTAAAGCAGCAGCCCGGACGGGACAGTCGGTGTCCAATTGCTCGAGAACATTAGGGTTATTAATTAAGGCAAGTAGTACAGTATCGTTGACAAAAAGAAATCGCTCAGAAGCACGGTTCGTAGTCATTCAGAGAGGAAACGAGACGTCGAGGTCAAGAACGTCGACGCGTTGGCACGCTCGACGCGCGCGCGAGTCGTTTTCGCACGCGCGCCGTCGATTCCGCCGGGAGGAATCGTCGAGCTCGCTCCTCGCCTCTTTCCTCCACCACCCCACTCTCCGCCCACTCGCCGTCTCGCCCGTGCGTCAACCCGCCCGTCCACCCCATCCCCTCCGACGCCATCCACACATTTATCCCCGGTTCGCGTGCAACGCGACGCGACCCATTCGCGGCACCACGCGGCCCGCGCTCACGTCCGACACTCACCGACGACCAGCCCGACGACCAGCATCTCTATACTGAGGAGGGCGATGGAGCTGTAGAAGATGATGGTGGTTGGGGATGAGGTGCGTCGCACCACTACGCGTCCGAGACAGACGCGTTCTCACTTACGCCCGCGCGTCCGAGACAGACGCGTATACGCGTGGCGCGCGCGCCTCCTTGGCCACAACCACCACCTCCTCCAAATGCGCCCTCTCCGCCCGACCGCAATGCAAATTTGGCATCGACACCGACGTGCCAATGGCGGACATCTCCGAGCCACCTCCACTCTCGGATGACAGGGCGAAGTTGCGGGTGTGCGCGACTCGCGCCTCGCCGTTTCCGCCGCGCGGAATCGTCGGGCGCCTGCCTCTCACGTTTGTTCGCTCGTCTCTTCGTCTCCTCTTCTTTCTCTCACTGTGTATATACTTTGATAATATATGTTGGGCATCAATGTCAATCAAATATTGCGCTGTGACTTCTTAAATAAACTGACAGAGATAATATACAGTACAAAAATAGTACAAAACAATCTGCCGAAAGAAAATGGAAAGGTACGAAACATCAAGTCCCTACGCCAGGCCGCGGCGCTCGGCATAGATGGCGTTAGCCTCGGCGGTGTTGGGCACCTCGCTGTCCTTGCGGAACACCGTCCAGAGAGCCTCAGGGACGCGACCCAGAGCAATGTACCTCTGCCGGGTGGCGTGAGGCGTGGAGGTCCAGCGTCTGAGATGACGGTGGTAGGAGCTCTTCTTGTACCGGAGGTTGGGGTTGTCGAGCAGGTGCTGTTCGTTAAGGTGTAGCATGCGGTGGAAAGCGTCGGGTTTGTGGGCCTCGTTAGTCGCGGCACGGCTCTGCCTCTCCAACCACTCAAAGTGCTGGGTGACCTCGCAGATGTAAAAGCGGTCGGGCCAACGCCGAAGATCAGGGTCGGGCGTTGGGATGACTTGTATGTCGTCCTCGTCTTCCTCCGCGCTCGCGTTGCCACTGCTGATGTGCGGGTAGGCGTTCAGGTCAAGAACGGCACCGACCGCTACAGCCGGCGATGGCGGGATGGCCCAGGTGCTCGCCCCACCCGATGTGACAGCACGGGGTGTGTGGGGAGGCAGAGCCTGAAGGGAAGTAGAGGACGTCGCTTGAGAGCTAGACGCGAGCGAGGATGTTGACGCAGCGGTGGAAGCGAGTGGAGCGAACAAAAGCGGTGTATCCGCCTGCGGCGAAGCAAAGGCATCGACCGGGGGCCAGGTAGGCATGGGCGGGTCAAGCGGAGGGTCGAAGATGTCCAGGAGTGGTGATAGTGTGAGTGGCGTCTGCGTAGAGGCCCTTGACGACGATGTTGAACGCGATGTACCGATGGACAATGAGCGCTCCTTGCCCTTGGCCTCGCGGTAAGTGGCCTTCATAGCGTGGCGGTCAGCTATGACGTTGGCGGCAAAGGTGTTCCGGTGCTTGTAGCCAAACGCGGTCGCAAAGCACTCATTGAAGAGCGGAAGGCTGTCAAGGCAGCTTGGCTTGACCAAGAGCGTGCGAGTGGGTCCCAGCCGGACAACATGGTTGGCAAATGCGGACTCCCATGCGTGACCGTGCTCCGTGTGGAAGTCAAAGCGCTGGGAGGTAGCTGCGCCCGTGCCACGAACCTCAGCGCTGTCCAGAATGGCCGGCGTGAAGGTGAACAAGGCACCCGGGCACTGAATATTGAGCTTCCAATAGCGACGACCGTCCTGTAAAGGGGGGTATTAGCTATATTCAGAACAGAGTAAGACGTATTGAACGTACAGCGGGGAAGATCCACAGATGCACGTTGGACTTCTCCGCTCGCTCATGTTCAAGTGCAAGCTGCTCCTGGCGGCGTAGCTCCTCCGTCTGCTGAAGCTGTTGACTACGTGTGGTGCTGAATGTGTCGTACATCTGTGTTGAGCGCAGGGGTTCCTTGGGCAGAGGAACGGGCGCCAACGGGCGGTACCGAGAAGGCGCAGGCGGCTCTGGCTCAAGATGAACGTCATCGTCATCAGGATCGTCTAATAGCCCTGGTGGCTCTAGCGGTCCAAGATTAGAGGATGAAGCGAAAGGGCCCGGCAAGACGGTAGTAGGGTGTGCGGTAGGGTTGAAGGGAGCGGTGGGCTTGTCGACTTTGGGTTTGTGCTTGTCACAACCGCCGAAGAACTTCAGACAATCCTTCAGGCATCCCTGTGGAGAATGGGTTAGTAGGGTTCGTGGCGCGTACGGTAAGGAGACTAACGTTATTGGGGCAATCCTTCCGGGCCTTGCGGTTGCAGAGCTCGTCAATCTGGCAATGACCCATGGGATACGGTGCGGCGGTGATGTTACGCGTAGATTTGGATGAGTGCGTTGAAGCTGAGGAGATCTTCTTGTAAGGTGCCTTCCAACCAGGAGGTCTGCGGAAGGTGGGTTTGCCGTTGGTGTGGTTCTCAACCGCGCGGCACTGAGAAAATATGTTAGGGAAGGTGAAGCTGGTGGCATCAAATGAACAGCATACGCAGTAGAACGGTTCCCCAGGGAATCCCGAACGGCGGCCACCAATAGAGACAGGTATGGGAGCGAGACAAGTAGACTCAGGGCAGTACTGGTAGTCAGGCCAGGAGGGAGGAGGTTTCGCAGGCGGGAAAGAGCCAGAGGCCATAGAAGGGGGAGG